CACCATGGGCCCATTGATTGTATCAGATAAATACTTGGTGTCGGCCCACCTGTATTTAACAGAACAATACATTCATCGGCCCACATCCCGCTGGCCTGTGTAGAACAGGGATATTTCAACCTCGGCTGTCTGTTTCTATCAAGGGTAAAGTGACTGCAGTATGTGGAACGGGAGACGGGAGACGGGAGACGGGAGACGGGAGACGGGAGACGGGAGACGGGAGACGGGAGACGGGAGACGGGAGACGGGAGACGGGAGACGGAGACGGAGACGGGAGACGGGAGACGGGAGATGGGGGGACAGGAGAATACAAGATGGGAGACAGGACAAGGGAGGATAGGAGAACAGGAGAACAAGAGAACAAGAGAATGGGGGGGGGACGGGGAAATACAAGACAGGATACGGGAAAATAGAAGAAATGGGAGAATGAGAGAATGGGAGAACAGGAGAACAGGAGAGCAAGAGATTGGGAGATTGAGAGATCAGGAGAACAGGAGAGTGAGAGATCAGGAGAATGGCAGAACAGGGGGATGGGGAAATATGAGATGGGAGACGGGAGAACGAGAGAATTGGAGAACTGGAGAACAAGAACACTGGAGAATGGGAGAATGGGGGGACGGGGGATGAGGAAATATGAGACGGGAGAATAGAAGAACAGGAGAATCAATAAATTATAAAACAGCACAAAAATATGTGACTGGGGGGACGGGAGAATATGAGATGGGGAGAACTAATAAATTTTACTATAGTACAAACATTAGACTGATTCCTCTGCTAGCAGGATTTGTGCAATGTATGATAATTTTTATTAATTATAAAAGTATACAAAAATTCAAATTCAAATTATGATCTCAAAAATACAATATAATTCAAAACCTGCTATGATTATTAAGAAGACAAGGTGCCGCAGGCACCTTGAGCAGAGCGCGAAGCGCTCTGCTGCCTTCCTGTGCCGAAGGCACAACGGGTGTGGACTAGTCTATAAAGTAAGGCGCGATGGGTAGGGACGCGCGTGCAGCTCGCATGGACGCCATGTTTGCTCACATGGCGTCCACGTTTGCTCGCGTGGTTTGCGCTTAGCTTGGCAAAACCTCGATTTGGAAAGTTGCGTGGTTTTTTTCGAGCACCGACCGTGCACACGACACCGACGCGACCGACGCTGCGACGTCAACACGAACTAGCCCAACCCTCACGCTAGGCCTCACAATTCACCTGCCATCACTTCCCGACACCTTCCGTCATCTCCAAATACCTCCCGTCGTGTCCTGCTGCCTCCCACTAACACTGACAGCATGACTATTCCCAGCACTGCCACCTCAGCGCCTGATACCGGCTCCGGTGCGTGTTTTGCCGTGTCGCATGATGCGGAGCTGCCTGCCACGCTGGGCCATGTCGACGGGTGAGTTCTTCTCTTTCGTTTTTCGTTTGATTTCAAATTAACAGTAACTACTATACTAAGTACTATCCCCAGTGCTTCCCCAGTGCCTGGTACTGGCACATTTTTCGCTGTGACATCACTGATGTGCAGTGACTCGCGTGCGGCGCTGCCAGGCTGTGTCAACAGGTGAGTTCATTTGTTTTTGTCTCTGTCTGATTGGTCCCTTACAGTAGCTACGAGGCACGATGGCTTCCTCGAGCCAAACCCAGCTCTCGACTGGAATGCCAGGGTTCTCCAGGGTCTCGACATGAGTTATGCTGCTCGACTGCAGCAACGTGCCGAACGGCACCATATTCTCATCCCTGCTCTCAGAATGCCTGCCCCACCCATCACCACATCCACCACTCCTCCAGCACCCTCATGTGTGACAGACTGGGAAGCTGAACTTCGCTTCCGGTTTTCAGAGAGTCACTTGGCGCGTCTCGAACGGAGACAACTCAGCAACCCATACAGTAAGATCTCCACTCGACGAGAGGGTCGCCATGCAGCAGAGCAGCGACTTCACGACATGCAGCAACAAAATGCAAAGCTGGCCAAGAGAATGACCTGGGCAGATGAGCAACATGTGCATGACCTCAAGCGTAGTGATCTGGACTGGGATGTTGTTCGCACACGCTTGGATGAGGCAAAGGAGCATCGGAAGCAGCGCGATGTTGCAGATGCTTGGCGTACACACATCCTTGAGCAGAGGAAGGGGAAAACTTGGGAGCAGCACCGTCATCTTGACCAGGTACTCAAGGAGGGTCCTCCCCCTGGCTGGAAGCCTTCTTGATATTCACATTTGTCTTATAGTTATTCCTATAACATGCTTTAATTTTTTGTTTGTGAATATTCATGCTATGACATCTTGAAAATATAATATATTTCAAAATCTGCCATAATTATTATAAGGTGATACAGGCACCTCCCAAATTGAAGGACATGAGATGGCAGAATGGGAGATGTGAGAATGGGAGAATGGGAGAACGGGAGAACGGGGGGACGGGGGGACGGGGAAATATGAGATGGGAGACAGGAGAATAGAAGAACAGGAGAACAGGAGAATCAATAAAGTATAAAACAGCACAAAAATATGTGACTGGGGGACAGGAGAATATGAGATGGGGAGAACTAATAAATTATACTATAGTACAATTTGTGCAATGTATGATAATTTTTATTAATTATCAAAATATACAAAAATTCAAATTCAAATTATGATCTCAAAAATACAGTATATTTCAAAACCTGCTATGATTATTAAGAAGTCAAGGTGCCACAGGCACCTTGAGCAGAGCGCGAAGCGCTCTGCTGCCTTCCTGTGCCGAAGGCACAACGGGTGTGGACTAGTTAATCCAGAGGCCCAAAAGCTCCTCACTTTGACATCCAATTTCCTTGCTTGGATATCCCACACCTCAAGACACTTCCCCACAGTGCAGTTTGAGCTACACGTGAACCTGAGAACATTTAGCTCAAACTAGTGCTTACTAATCGAGTGATCGCATAACTAAGACGCGTCCCGATACACGCGTCTTTCATCTCGCTTTCTTTACGCGCTCACTCTCTCGTTTTTCTTAAGTGAGAACTCGACACCTTATTGTTATTCCGTACAGATCTAGCCGCTACTAGACATGACCAATATCGTGTCTCGTTCTGGTTTGCCAGGGGGCGTTGGCGGAAAAAGTACCGCAGCGCTCGTCCCAAACACTGACGCGGATGTCGTAGACGTCGACAGAATCGCAGAAAGCCTCGGTAGGCCAAGGTCCCGACGGGAATTATCCCCGAGGGATCTGATCCAGAGAGAAAATGACGCACGTACAGCTCATAACAGCGAACGTGCTGATCAGAGAGACACGACTTCGGGTACTGTATCCGATGACGAGCTTATGCTCGATGTCCCGAGCCTCGACCCGCGTTCCTTGCCTGATCCGGGGCCTATTGACACCAATACCCCATTAATCAACGCATATAGGGCGGTTAACGCGCTTACACCGCATTCTCGATCAGCCTTCGACTCTCTCATGGTGGAACGTCATCAGGACGTACAAGCTCCCACTTCTGCACCCCCAGCGGTGTCCAGCACCACATCTACGGTCAAACAACTCGCATACAACGACGATGAGATCAAGATGGTTTCATCCATAGACGACATTTTTGAAATCCCACGCGTGATCATTAATCTTGCAGACTCAAAAATGCACGTGCCTCTCACGCTCTTAACGGCAGAAGCCATGGAGAAGATTCATAATGATCCCTCGTGCATCATTATGAAAAAGGGTCTCGTTCTAGACGATCCCAAGAAGTCGGTAATGGACGCCTCGGGCTTCCCTCCGGAATCATCCTGGTCTCCTGCGCAGTTCTACGAAGCTTACGAAAACTTCATGGAGCTACTTAACCACATCGCAGGCGCAGCCATCAAGGAGAAGTTCAGAAAGCACCGACTGTTCTGTCTCTCCCGCAAGAGGTTTGAAGAGAACTTCACGGCTGTGCTCACGTTCGACATCGAGACTCGCCGCATATTTTTCAACACCAAGTCCTTCTTGACTGAAGCAGCTTACGAATGTCGTTGGAACGACACGCTGACGAAGATCTCGAGGGATAAGTCCGACGAGGCAGCTGCTAACGCCAACAGAGAGCTCAATAGGCTCACCGCTTTAGCATCCCGCCTCGAAGGCTCTAGCGGCGGCAATGGGAACCGTTACCATCCGTACCAGAGCGCAGTCAAACCAAGATCAGACGCCCCAGCTCCATCGTCCTCTGATGGAAAGCCCTTTCGAAGGGGCAAAGGGGCCTCCTCCGACGGACCCCTTTGCCTCCTCTGCGGTCGGAACGGCCACAAAGCCAGTGACTGTACCTATACACACTCAGCCAAGAACGCTCCGCTCGTCTGCGTATGGCAGGACAAGATCATTCTCAAGTCATCCTCCGCCATCGTCTGCATCTCACACAACATCGGGCGTTGCATCCCGGGCAAGCACGGAGCAGACATCATTCACGTCTGCTCCGTCTGCGGCAGCAAAACACACGCCGCTTCAGCCAAACTGTGCTGATGACATCCTGCACCGCGTCGTCACACCGTACAGTGCTGACGCCTTCGAGAGACTCTTACTCAAGTTCAACCTTACATCTCAATACCCTGACCTCGCGCATAACATCAGACACGGTTTTCCCATTGGCAACATGCCAGTTCTCACCCGCTCGTACACACCACCTAACCACAAATCAGCTTTAGATAACCCGGACGTCATCTGTTCATACCTAGAAGAAGAAGTCACACTCAATCGCATGTCAGGACCGTTTTCAGCAGCTCAAGTAGAAGCCAAACTGGGGGGCTTCTTTGTCTCCTCCCCGCTTGGCCTAGTGGAGAAAGCCGGCTCGCCCGGAAAATTTCGCATCATTAGGGACCTCTCATACATCAACAAGGAAGATGGATATTCAGTCAACAAGCACCTCGACGCTGACGACTTCCCAACCGCCTGGGGCACAGCAGCACAAGTAGCAGAGATCGTAAGTGTCTTCGTTTGCCTCGTGCGGTGTCGCCCGCCCCTTCTCCCCTTTCTTGCGAAGCTGGGCGTATATATGCGCCCAGCTAAGCTCTTTACTTGTGCGGTGTCGTCCGCCTCTTTACGTTGCGCGGTGTCGTCCGCCTCTTCCGTTGTGCGGTGTTGCCCGCCTCTTTCTTTGCCAGCGAGGCACTCGTTTGAGCCTCGCTGAGCTCTTTATCTCGTGTGAGGCCCCGTAGCGCGCCATCACCTCTTTTTCGCGTCGAAGGACGCATGGTATTATGTCATAGCACATACTTACCAGCCAACAGGTGGCTACCGCTCCGCTCGGGTCGCAAGCTGCAACGCTTGACATAGAAGCCGCCTATCGCACCGTGCCTGTATGGCCGCCGCACAAGAGGTTTCTAGTTGTCGGTTTTGACGGTTCGTTTTGGGTTGATCATAATTTTCCTTTCGGCCTCACGACCGCCGGTGGCGTTCAAGGCCACATAGCAGACGCTACTGTAGACATTCTCCACTGTATGGACATCACTCCCATAAAAAAATGGGTCGACGACCACTCCATCTTTCGTTTCCCCGTAGCGGGCGGCGTCATCGACGCAAATGGCCTCTTCACACCGTACGAGTACCTATTCGACCTCTTAGACGTGTTCACAGCAACGAGCCCTCTGGGCGTACCATGGCACCCAGAGAAGTGCGCCGATTTCGACACCATCTTCACGTACCTTGGCTTCCTCTGGGACCTCATCGAGCGGTCGGTGTCTCTGCCCGAGCCCAAACGTCTCAAATACCTCGCTAAGCTGGAGAGCGTTCTGCTAGCTCTGTCCACGTCACCATTCATGTCGTACAAGGACGCCATGAGCATTAACAGAACACTATCACATGTCGCCTTCGTCATTCCTCACGGTAGGGCATACCTGTCCAACCTCTGCCGCTTCATTTCCCAGTTCCCACCAGACTCTCGTTTCGCGCGCAGAAAGCCACCGCCATCAGTGCTCTCAGACCTGAAGTGGTGGAGATCCACGCTATCTCGACCACCTCCTGCACGTCACCTCACGCCCAGAGGTCCACCTCAAGACATAGACCTTTGGGTCGACGCCTCAACGGACTGGGGTACTGGCCTCGTCCTGGGCGAGAAGTGGAGCGCATGGCGTATCACAGCGGGCTGGAAGGGAGAAGGACGTGACATCGGATGGCTCGAGGCCATCGCCGTCGAGCTGGCGGTGATCACACTACTCACCTTCGGCTGGAAGGATCGGGCTGTCCTGATCCACTCAGACAACCAAGGAATCATCGGGGCCTTCAAGCACGGTCGGAGCAGGAACTTCCAGGTTAACTCTTGCATCCGTCGCGTGGAGGCCATTGCAATGGACTCTAACATGCTTTATCATTTGACTTACGTCGAGTCGCTCACGAACAAGGCAGACCCCGTTTCTCGTGGCGAGACGGGTCCAGCGAGCACTCGTCTACCCATAATCCAGCTGCCCCCAGAGCTGGAACCCTTCATCCTTCCTCATGTCTGACGCCCCTTCGTCAGAGTCAGCTGATGCTGACATGGTGACAGCCTTGGTCCGTCTTCGGAACGCTTTGAAGAAGCCACCCGAAATCGGAGTGCCGCCCACCGCTGCTCACAAGATCCCTAAGCCCCGTAAACCTAAACCAGCTAATATCATCGCACCGTCTACCTTCCGTCCTCATGTTCTTGCATGCGACAGGGTTCGCCTCTGGTCTGCGCCTCATTCAACTTCATTCCATTCAAATCTTCTGAACAATCTTCCACTCGCGACAGCATCACGCCTCCTCGACGTCCTCTTAATTTCAGTAGAGCCAAAGACTAGGGAGAACTATGGAGCAGGCCTCCTAAGGTTTCACCAATTCTGCGACTCCATCTCTATTCCCGAGGACCGTCGCCTTCCAGCATCAGAATACATTATAGCAGCATTCATATCTTCTTGGGCGGGTCGCGTAGCAGAAACGACCGCAGACAACTGGCTCGCGGGACTTCACTTCTGGCATCAACTCAACGGCGCGCAGTGGCATGGTCACGCTATAGTTCACAGGGCTAAACAAGGTCTGGCTAAAGTGGTCCCAGACACTTCTAAGCGTCCCCGCAGACCTCCAGTCTCTCTGGACCACATGCACATGCTCTTCCGTCATCTTGACCTCTCCAACTCTTTCGACGCCGCTGTTTATGGCGTAGCCAGTATCGCTTTTTGGTCTTGCTGCAGGTGCGACACTCGCATGGTCCTTGTTGACCGTTCACTGACTCGTTTCACAGACTCGGTGAACTTATCATTCCTTCCCTTCACGGCTTCGACGCCTCTCGCCACGTATCACGCTCCGCACCAATCACTCATCGCGCAACCGACGGCGGTGTCAAGTTCGCCTCCCTGCGCATTCCATGGTCTAAAACCACACAAGGAGAAGGTGACGCAGTGTCTATAATGAGGATCGATGATCCCACAAATCCCTACGACGCTCTCATGCACCACTTGTCAGCCAACTCTTCAGTACCATCCTTCGCCCCGCTCTTCGCATTTGAAACAGACTCGGGTTGGGCACCACTCACCAGGCCTTGGTTCATAACGAGATGTAATGACGTATGGAGAGCGTCTGGGTTGGACACACTTACAGGTCATTGCTTCCGCATCGGGGGGGCTACTGAACTGCTACTCCGCGGAAACCCACCGGATATTGTAGCTGCCCAGGGTCGCTGGAAATCGAGATCGTTTATGGACTACTGGCGACGCATTGACTCCATCATCCCCACTTTTACTTCCAGTTCACTGCAGGACTCACGTTTCTCTCTTGTTAGAGCTTCAATGGACTCATACGAACGTAGATATCGTTAGATAATGAATATTTTCTCACTCGCACTCATGCGCTCGCGTTATTTCGCAAGTCTTCGCCAGTTGGGGTGTCGGTGTTTTCTGCACGACTTTGTGTAAGCACTTGCTCATTGTGGGTTGTGTCGTGCTTTAGAAAACTCCTCAAAAACTCATGCCTCACACTCGAGGTTTCATGCTGGCTCTCATCCGCTGGTCGATGTTTTCGCGCTCTCCATCCCGCGTGCATTCGACCTCTTTTCGCTTCGCCCGACAATGATCTCAATTGCCGCCGAACTCAGCGGATATTCTTATCAGCGTGACCCGGCAAAAGCCGAAGCAGGCCACGACCGGAAAACCCCACCCCAACTGACGAAACTCGTGTCGATGTTGTTCGCACCTAGTCTCCATCTATCTAAGTCAGATACTCAGTCTCATCTGACTCAGATCAGTGCGCAAAATAGACTTATTCACTCGCCTGTCGTACAACGGCACAAGTCTATTTTGCAGAACCTTAGTTAGTTACACTAACGACACTTAGTAAGCTCTGAAATGACCGCAATCTTCCTCGAGTCATGCGAGTATCGAACTGCGCCAACCCGATCAGCACTTTTGAATGGATCATGGCCAGCCACGATTTCGTCAGTGTCCAAGCTCCATATCTGCACTGTCGAATCGTATGACCCGCTCGCTAGCAGCATGTTGTCTGCAGAGATATCGATGCAGCTGATTTTCCTTGAGTGGCCTTCAGATCTTCTCACGGTCCCCGTCTCAACCTCACAGACTCTGAGCTCTCCGGTCAAGAGAGGTCCACCACCCATGACAACCCATTGACCATCCCTTGATACAGCCACTGCACGTACTTCCTGCATACCAACATCCCGTGCTTCCCCAATCTCCTTCCCCGTCTCAAGGTCCCATCGTCGAGCGGTCCCATCGCGTGACCCGCTGATCATTCGCTTGCCGTCCGTAAAATAGGATATGGATGGAATGGACTCTGTGTGACCTTCCAAGGTCGCTACGGGTGTCAAAATCGATTTCTTTGCTGCTGCAGGCTGTCTCGATGTGGAAGCCATGACCAGTGTCTCTGCCAGAGTCCTATTTGGGAGTATTTGAAGCGTCGTCGGTGAGGTCTTATCGTCTGCCTGACGTTGATAGAGATTTCGAAGGATGCCAAACTGCTGGCAGCTGGTACACTTTTCCTGTTGAAGCCGATCATCAGTTCGTCAGAGCTGGAATGAACAGACTGTTTTTGACGTTACCTAGAGGCTAGCAATTTGGGGGATGCGTGAGTAATTCACCTGATTGCGTGTGCGTGCGTCTGCCAACCCTCTATTTTTGCATATCATTCCACAGCATTTTGTTTTTAACCACGGTCCAGCGCTTTGCTTGTTGGCTCCCTGCCGTGGTCATCTCCGTTGCCGGAGCATCATCCTAGCCTGGGGTCCTTCAGACTCTAGACCAATGAACTTATCAGTCTAAATAACCGTCGAGTTCTGTGTGTTCCCGTGCATGTTGGTATGCAAGTTCAGAGCCCTGTGCAATTGTTAATGCTGTAAAGCACCTCGCCGATTGGCGCCCAATTGGCGCTAAACCATAATTGAAATATCTCACACAAACAGAGCCGTACTGCAGTGTGCCTTATATGTACTCTTTGGAGTTGACATTGATGTGATGGATTACGGAGATCATCAAATAGTCTGAGCCACCCTTGCAAAGTGGGAGGTTTCTAGAGTTTTCTGGAGTTCATATCTGGACGTTACTCACAGTGGTCCACGTCTTACTATTACCAGTCCACTCTGAGAGTCAGCTGGAGTTCAGGCCATTCACACCCTCCCAGGCGGTGCGACACGCACAGCAAAGGTGAAATGCCTACAATGCGAGCCTTCTCGCATTCCGAATGAATCTATATGCTAATCGGGTCTCAGCAAGCGCGACATCAAAAAGCGGAGGTTATTCCACTTATAGTGAACGACTATTTGGAGTGATTCCGTCTTTTACAGGGCACAGTTCACAGAGACAATAGCAACTGGTGTTCCCGTACCCATCCTGAAGGAGCGCTCTACTTTCGTCATGTATGTCGTTTGTAATATTGTGCCCTCGGTCTCCTGCTGCTAGTAACAAGGATATTTACACTGACTTGTCCATGCGGGAGGAAACGCCGAGGTAGAATGAACACGTATTTGCATGAACTACTCGCTCTTGTGGGTTTAGGGTTGCAGTTGGGCAGCGTGATGTCGAGCTCGTCGTGGTGTTGACACGCGGTCCACAGGGCTTAGCTATAGGATATACATGTATTATTTCGTCGATCATCCCAAGCACCCACTGGCACATTTCTGGCTCCATGAGATATCTTTGCCGTCGAACAAGTACTGACAAGTCTTTCTTCGTGTGTAAGTACTCAGATAAGTCTGGGGGTGAACCTACGTTTAGTAGCATACCGTGCCTGATGCCGTCTATGTAGCTGTACTGTAATTAGATCGTTGCATGCAAAACAGTCCAAGAATTAAGGAGATCTGGACAGCGAGTAAAATTCATTCCTAATCACTCCGTCAGCTCCCTCGGTCGATGGACGGTCCCGAGGATCAGTAGACCAGCATTGCTTGATAAACTGCCAATACTTCTCAAGGAGCACAGGATATCGAGATCGGGAAGGCTTTTCCGACCTGGCTATGCATAGGACAATAGTGGCATCGTTCGGCAGGTAATAATAGGGAATCTTGTTGGTGAGAACCTAAAGACAGAGATAATGATATCACTGCGCAGTCGAAATTACACAACGTACCTGCAACATAATACCGCCAAACGAATAGATGTCGCTCTGCTCACTCGGACGAGTTGGAGATCCATCCTCCCGTTCTGGTACAAGCAGCTCAGGAGCCATCCATCGCATGTTTCCTTTGAGCGTGGACGTCCAGGAAGCCTGAGATGCGCTTATAACCTCGGAATACATCAAGGAGAGGCCGAAGTCGGCAACACACGCAGTGCCATCACCATAGATGAGCACATTAGGCTGGAGAGCACGTCTCAATCGGGTTGAAACCATCGAGATGGTGAACTTACTCCATTGAAGTCCCCATGGATGACACTGTTAGCGTGTACTACGGGGAAAAGTTAGTATTCCTGGCCCAGTATTAAACTAACTCGCACGTACGATATTGGAGACCAGCTATAATATCCTTGAGCTGAGATTACCATCAGTTTGTAGTCTTTATGAAATACAAGTGAGGACTTACGATCTGGAATCGTCGAACGAGAGTAAGATCCGCACCCTCGCGCTCTAAATATGCGGTCAGGTTTCCCTTCTCCGCCCAAGGACTGACTAGCGCTATAAATGGGCCGAAGCCATTAGTATAGCCATAAACGGGCAGAATATTTTTGTGTTTGAGTTTGGCACATATTCTGAGTTCACGCGTTATCCTCTAAGATGTAGCGACGTCTGGCGTGAGGAATATTACATGCAATCTTTTGTCAAAACACTGACCTTGATCTTCTTCGTCTGGGCTGGACCAAGTTGATCAGCAGCGTACACCTGCAACGCTTTCACTGCGACCTGCGCAATTGTCAATTTTAAACAGATGGACAGCCACAGCACGGCAGACAAACTTTGATCGATGTCCGATTTATGGAATAGGTACATTTCCAGATCTCGCCGAACCCGCCACGAGCAACAGGATAGTCTCCGTCCTTGGTGATGTATGCCGTGAGATTTTGTAGCCTCGCGTCAGGGGATGGATTACCAGAGTCATGGTTACGAATGGGGGAAACCGTGCCCACATAGTGAGAGGAGGGGATGAATTCGCGGGGATAGGGGTATGATTGTGGTAGCCGTGAGCCTATTTCAGGAGAAGAACTTCGAGGTAGAGGGAGAAGAGCTACGGCAGGCGATAATGTTGTACTATGAAAATCTAGCGCAGGTCCTCCGTGTGCGTACGAGAGGTTTTGAGGCAATGACTGAAGTCCTGGGTCGTAGTGTTGCCTCTGCATGTCAGTTGGTGACAACAACGTGCCAACAGATGGCAGCCGCATGGCGGTAGGCGGTCGCATGTCGCCGGGCTGTATGCGAGACGTTACGCTGTGTCTGTCAGTCCACCCGCCGCCGCTCAAGGTCGGCCTTGCAGATATCATTGCGTTATCATACACGGCAGCAGCATGAGCTGCATCAGACTACAACAATAACATTAATGGAGTGGTGCCTATGAACAAAAGAAAGGGATTGCGTACGTTGGGTAGAAGTGGGAGGGGTGTATTTACAGGCTGGCCGGTCTGCAAAAAAATGTCAGCGGATGCGCAACACATATACGGAAATGACTACGCACTCTCTGAGACACTTGTTCTCCAGGGTAAATACTCGGAAGGATCTCAGGTGGGGTGTTGCATACGTAGATATTGTTGTTGCACCAGGTCGTATAAGCCAGTTGGCGCGAGTCAGGTGAGAAAATAATGTGGCTGGGATTCCGAACGTGGAATAAGGCGAGGAGCTGGCGGGACTCGAAGTCCCAGAGTCTGATGGTATGGTCATCAGAAGCACTAGCGAGGAGAGCACAATCAAACGAAAGTGCTAGACCGTTGATGACACCGATGTGCCCTCCGAAGGGAGTTCCGACCGTCGCCAGCGTGGACGCGTCAAACTCATAGATCGTATTCGGGGAGTCGAAGTCCGTGAAGCCAAATGCAGTTACAATCTTGTCTTTGGTAGTCCAGAACACTGGAGATCGATGTATTACGAAAAGAGTTTTCCTCAGCCTGACATCCAATTTCCTTTCTTGGACATCCCAAACCTGAAGACACTTCCCCAGAGTTGACTTGATCGCAATCTTCCTTGAGTCTTGCGAGAATCGCACTGTGCCCACCCACTCAAGACTGTCGAATGGACCAGCCACGATTTTTCCAGTGGCCAAGCTCCAAATCCGCACTGTCGAATCGTATGACCCGCTCGCCAGCAATGTGCTGTCCGCGGAAATGTCGAGGCAAGTGATATTCTCTGACAGTGAGTGGCCTTCAAATCTTCTCACAATTTCCGTCTCAACCTCATAGACTCTGAGCTCCCCATCTCCACCACCCATTACAACCCATCGACCATCCCTTGATACCGCCACCGCATGTACTTCCCGTATACCAACATCCCGCGCCTCTTTAATCTCCTTGCCCTCTTCTAGGTCCCATCGCCGAGCGGTCCTATCCCATGACCCGCTGATCATTCGCTTGCCGTCCGGACAATAGGATATGGATGGAACGGACTTTGTGTGACCCTTTAAGGTCAACACGGGTGTCAAAATCGATGTCTCTGCTGCTGCTGCAGGCTGGCTCATTCTTAGGGCCATGACCAGTGCTTCCACCAGCGGGTCGGCAAGCACAATTTGGGAGTATTCGAAGTACCGTCGGTGAGGTCTTATCGTCTGCTGTGGCCTGACGTTGATAGTGATTTCGAAGAATTCCTAACTGTCGGCAGCTGGTACACGTTGCCTGTTGAAGCCCATCATCAGTTCATCAGAGCTGGAATGAACAGACTGTTTTTGGCATTACCTGGAGGCTGGTAACTTGGGCGATGGGTGAGTGATTCACCTGATTGCATGTACGTGCGTCTACAAACCCCTCCGTTTTTGTACTTCCTGCCATATTCCTGTGCATTCCACAGCATTTTGTTTTAACCACGGTCCAGCGCCTTGCTCGTTGGCTCCCTGTCGCGGTCATTTCCGTTGCCGGAACATCAACCTAGCCTGGGCCTGTGGACTCTATACCAACGACCCTATCAGTCTAAGTAGCTGTCGTGTGCTATGTCATCCGCGCATATGCGAGCTCAGAGCCCTGCGCAATTGTGCATGCTGTAATGCAGTTCAGCAATTGACGCTCAATTGTGATTGGACCTTGGCAAAGCCGCTAATCTACGAGCATCTGACTTGAAACGACATTCGCAAACACGCGGGCAGCGATAGAAATGTTCGTGTCTAGGTTGAGATGCTCGAAGATGACACCAATGTTCCGTATTTCTCTACTACCGTTGTGCCTGCTGCTGACGACTAGAGGGCAACAAATTACTATCAAGCTGCCTTGGGAGATTTCAACGATCTATAGCGAGTTAAATTGACATTGTCCTTGGTGAGAGTACCCGCTGCAGCGTTGCCCTGTGAACGCATGATACCTCAAATACCGCGAGGAACATCAACCGAGCACACCTCTTTTCCTGCGCGCGAAGAACATTGACAATAAGCGGCAATACATGACTGGGCCATCAGGTTCTATGATAGACAGTGTATACGGGCCTAGACTTATCGTGCGCGTCTTCCCACGCACGTCCCCGAGTACAGGGCCCTTGTCAATGTGCAGCTTGCACTGAAATTTCTGTAAACTCCGCCCCTTAGAACGTTAACGTTGAGCGATCTATCCAGATATGTGCCTTCGAAATTGACGTTGATGAGACGAATCACAGGATGCGCACGAGAACACCAATTGCTACTGTCTTGCGAACTGTTCCCGTGATCAAGGCATGTTCCCATCGAAGGAAAAGACGGGACTCACTCAAAATAGGAATAACCTCCACTTTTTGATGTCGAGTCTATGTCACGCTCGCTGCGAACCAGCATATGGATTCATTTGGAATGCGAGAAGGCTCCGAGTCACTGTAGGGGTTTTCACCTTTACCGTATCGCATCGCCTGGGAGGGCATGAATGGCCTGAACTCCAACTGACTCTGAGAGTGGTTACAGTGTATCTGATTAGCCGATATTAGAGGAGCGTGGACTGCCAAAATCAGTAAGACAGATGAATTGGATACGGATCACTGTGAGGCTTTGGAACCAGAGGAACTCCAGAAAACTGCAGTGCACAGCCTCTGAATCCTGATATCTATGCCAAATCAGGATTCCCGCAAACAACGCAGGCATCTCAAACATGTCTTTGCAAGGGTGATAATTATGACGATCTCCGGAAGGAACGCTCTACTTTCGTAAGTATGTCATTTGTAATATCATGCCCTCGGTCTCCTACCGCTAGCAACAAATATGTTTACACCAACGTGTCCATGGGGGAGGAAAGGCCGAGTAAAATGAACTTGTGGGTGTGGATGAGCTATTCGCTCTTATAAATTTAAAATTGCAGTTCGGCAGCGTGATGTCGAGCTCGTCGTGGTGTTGACACGGTCCACAGGGCTTAGCATGTACAGGTACTATTTCATCGATCATCCCAAGCACCCAGTTTTCTGGCGGAATCCATGAGATATCTATGATGTTGAATATCAAGTACTGGTAAGTCTTTCTTCGTATTTAAGTACTCAGATAAGTCTGGGGGTGAGCCTACGTTTAGTAGCATACCACGCCTGATGTCGTCTATGTGGTTGTACTATAAATAGATTGTTGCATGCAAGATAGTTCAAAAATCAACGAGATCTAGACAATGAGTAAAACTCAGTCCTGATCACTCCGTCGGCTCCCTCCGTCGACGGACGGTCCAGAGGATCAGTAGACCAGCATTCCTCGATAAACTGCCAATACTTCTCAACGAGCGCGGGATAACGAGGTCGGGAAGGCTTTTGCGACCTGGCTATGCATAGGACAATAGCAGCATCATTCGGCAGGTAATAATAGGGAATCTTGTCGGTGAGAACCTAAAGACAGAGCTGATGATATCACTGGGCAGTCGAAATTATACGACGTACCTGTAGCATAATACCACCAAACGAAAAAATGTCGCTCTGCTTGTTCGGACGAGTTGGAGATCCATCCTCCCGCTCTGATGTGAGCAGCTCGGGAGCCATCCATCGCATGTTTCCTTTGAGCGTGGATGTATAGGAAGCCTGAGATGCGCTTATAATCTCGGAATACATCAAGGAGAGCCCGAAGTCGGAAACACACGCAGTGCCATCACCATAGATGAGCACATTAGGCTGGAGAAAACGTCTCAATCGGGTGGAAACTATCGAGAAGGTGAACGTACCCCATTGAAGTCCCCATGGATGACATTTTTAGCGTGTACTACGGGGAATAGTTAGGACTCATGGCCCAGAATTAAACTAACTAGCACGTACGATATTGGAGACCAGCTATGATATCCCTGAGCTGAAATTGCCATCAGTCTGTAGTCTCCACGAAATGCGAGGGACAACGTACGATCTGAAATCGTCTAACGAGAGTACAAGCCGCACCTTCATGCTCCAAATAGGCGGTCAGGTTTCCATTCTCCGCCCAAGGACTGACCAGCGCTATGAATGGGCCGAAGCCATTAGTATAACCATAAACGGGCAGAATATTTTTATGCTTGAGGGTGGCGCATATTCTGAGTTCACGTGTTATCCTCTAAGATGTAGCAACGTCTGGTGTCAGTGATATTAGATGCAATCTTTCGGCAAGACACTTGCCCTGATTTTCTTCGTCTTCGCTGCACCAAGTTGATCAGCAGCGTACACCTGCAACGCTTTCACTGCGACCTGCGCAATTATCAAATGTTAGACAAATGGACAGCTACAGCACTGCAAACGAACTTTGACCGGTGTCCGATCTATGGAATAGGTACATTTCCAGATCTCGCCGAACCCGCCACGAGCAACAGGATATTCTCCGTCCTTGGTGATGTATTTTGAGAGATCTTGGAGCATCGTTTCATAGGGGAGATCGTCAGCCTCATCGTCACAAGCGGGGAGAACTGTGTCCGTATGGGAAGAGGGAAGGTGTTCGAGGGGATGTGTGTATGACTGGGGTAGCTGTGAGCCTATTGCAGGAGAATTTTTTCGCGTTGGAGGGGGAATCTGCAAGAAATATCAGCCCACGAACAAAATATGTACAGGAATGGCTGCGCACACTGTGAGGCACTTGTTGTGCAGGCTGAATGCTAGCAAGGATCTCAGGTGGGGTGTTGCATAAGTAGATCTTGGAGTTGTGCCCTACTGTATAAGCCACTTGGCGCGAGTCGGGTGAGAAGATAAGGTAGTAGGGATTCTGAACATGGAATGAGGCAAGGAGCTGGCGGGACTCGCAGGCCCAGAGTTTGATGGTATGGTCATTAGAAGCACTAGCGAGGAGAGCACAATCAAATGAAAGTGCTATACTAGTGATGGCACCGGTGTGACCTTTGAAGGGAGTTCCGACCGTATCCAGCGTAGACGCGTCAAACTCATAGATCGTGTTCACGGAGTCGAAGGTCGTGAAGCCGAATGCAGCTAGAAATTTATTTTCGGTGGTCCACAACACAGGCGCAGATCGACGTATTAACCAATGAGGTTTCACCAGTCTGACATCCAGCTTCTGCGTTTGGACATTCCACACCTCGAGGCAATTTGAAACGACCACAATCTTCTTTGAGTCTTGCGAGAATCGCACTGTGCCCACCCACTCAAGACTGTTGAATGGACCAGCCACAATCTCCCCACTGGCCAAGCTCCATATACGCACTGTCGAATCGTATGATCCGCTCGCCAGCAGTGTGCTGTCCGGGGAGATGTCGATGCAGGTAATCCTCCTTGAGTGGCCTTCAAACATCCTCACGATCCCCGTCTCAACCTCGCAGACTCTGAGCTGCCCACATCTACCACCCATGACAACCTCTTGACCACCCCTTGATACAGCCACAGCATGTAGTTCCTGCTTATAAACATCCCGCACCTCCTCGGTCTCCTTCCCCACCTCAAGGTCCCATCGCCGAGTGGTCCCATCGCGTGATCCGCTGATCATTCGCTTGCCGTCCGGAAAATAGGATATGGATGGAACGGACTTTGTGTGACCTTCCAAGGTCGCTACGGGCGTCAAAATCGATTCATTCGCTGCTGCTGCAGGCTGTCTCGATCTGAAAGCCATGACCAGTGTCTCCGCCAGCAGGTCGGCAAGCACCTATTTGGGAGTATTCGAAGCGTCGTTGGTGACTCGGAGTTCCTATCGCCTCCTATAGCCTGACGTTGATGGTTTCGAAGGAGGCCTGACTACTGGCAGCTGGTTCCCTTTGCCTGCTGAAGCCGATCGTCAGTTCGTCGGCGCTGGAAAGTTCAGATTGTTTCTGATTAAGTTACCTCAAGGCTAGCGACTTGGAGGAAGAGCGAACGATCCGCCTAGTTGAATGCGGGTACCAGTCCGGTAACCCTTCCATTTATGTACTTGCTGATACGCCCTATTAGCCCTATTAGCATAATAGGGCGTTACACAGCGTTCGTTGTAACCACGGTCGGCCGCCTTGCTTATGGCCTCCTGGCCTGGGGGTCCTGTGGACTCTCCGACGATTTTATCAGTCCAAATAGTCATGTGCCTCGTCTTCCTGTGCACGTTTCCGCGGATGTGCGAGCTCAGAGCCCTGGGCAATGTGCATGCTGTGAAGCAGCTCAGCGATTGGCGCTCAACCATGATTGAAATATCTCACACAAACAGAGCCGTACTGCAGTGGGCCCTATATGCGCTCTTTGGGGTTGACGTTGATGTGATGGATCAAATTGGCATCGGCCCTGGTGGGAACACCCAGTGCAGCATTGTGCTGTGAAAGCATGATAACTCAAATACCGTGACTAGGAGGAACATTGACCGAGCACACCTCTTTTCCTCTGTGAGAGGAACGTTGACGATATGCGCCAATGCATGACTGGGCCACCAGGTTCATAGATGGTGTATACGGGCCTTGAAGGTGCTGGGAGGGATTGTGGTAAACAAGTGTGCGTCGGGACTCGGATAAAATTTCAGTATTGATGGTGATTACGGATGTTGTCACTCACATAATCGGATGGATCTATGTATGAATGCGTCTGAGTTATGGCCTGCGCGGAGGGAGACAGGTTATGAGGTAGGGGAGATGCAGCAAGGAGCTGCAAGATAATCATCCGGTCAACTGCGGAGGATACAGGTAAAAGAGTGCACTAGGCAGCACGATCTGTTGCATCGGATTGTGATAATGTCGTGGATGTGAGTTAAATAATAGGAACACGCACAATATTGAGTAGTTGAGGCGCAGTGGTCTAAAAGGATTTATACAAGCAAATGATTGATCAAGTGAATGCAGTCTGTCATATCATTTGACAGAAAATACTAGCGGTGTATAGCACGCCATATGCATATGCCTGTTCATGTTAATGCACGCGACTATGCATACAGCTGCAATACATGAATGCAAGTTGAATAAGCACATCGAGGAGATCAGAGGCGGTACGTAGGCGCTTGCCAAGCTACGCGTTGCAGAAGCCACGTTTCACACGACCCTCTTTCGAGGGGTGTAGAAATATCCATAAGTGGTCACTGTACTGTCCAGGTCAATCTAAACGACGCCGACACCATGTTATTCGATGTCAATGTAAGTCCTAAAGTCACTCAATTCTTCATAAGTCTAACACACACATCACAAGCGCAAATTATTCTCTCGATCCGACCGCGTCAAAGGCGCCGATTTCCACCCTACTGAGCCATGGCTGCTAACAGGTCTCTACAACGGTTCCGTCAACATCTACAACCACGAAACTGGCGCTCTTGTCAAGACTTTCGAGGTCTCTTCCGTCCCTGTCCGCTGCGTCAAGTTTATTCCCCGAAAAAACTGGTTTGTCGCCGGCTCGGACGACTTTCAGCTCCGCATCTTTAATTACAACACGCACGAGAAGGTCGTCGCATTCGAGGCACACCCTGACTATATACGATGTCTCACCGTACACCCAACTGCGAGTATCGTGCTCACAGGAAGTGATGACATGACCATCAAAGCTTGGGATTGGGACAAGCAGTGGAAATGTATTCAGGTACGCTACCATGATTCGGTCTACTCTCAGCCTCAACTCCCGCCAGGTCTATGAAGGCCATACCCACTATATCATGAACATCACTTTCAATCCCAAAGACTCGAATACATTCGCATCTGCTTGCCTTGACCGCACCGTCAAGATGTGGTCCCTTGCCTCCCCTACGGCTAACTTTACCATGGACGCGCATGACAAAGGCGTCAACTACGTCGACTTCTACCCTGGCTCAGATAAACCATACCTCGTCACGACAGGTGACGACCGCACTATCAAAGTCTGGGACTACCTCAGCAAGAGCTGCGTGCAAACCATGGAAGGACACACCAACAACCCAAGCTTCGCTGTATTCCACCCCAACCTACCCATCATCATCAGCGGAAGTGAAGACGGCACCGTAAAGATATGGAACAGCAATACCTACCGTCTAGAGAATACCCTCAGCTACGCACTCGAGCGCGCATGGTGCGTCTCTCTGCGCCGAGATGCGAATGAGGTGGCTATCGGTTTTGATGAGGGTGTCGTCGTGATCAAGGTCTGTTTACATCATTTACACGCTCTTCTTATCTGACGCCTCTCAAGCTCGGCCGGGATGAGCCTACATACAGCATGGACCCATCAGGCAAATTGATATACACAAAGAACCAAATCGTGCTATCCGGCAACCTCGCCACACTTTCTGATACCACCAACGCAGACGGCAACCGCATCCCACTGTCGATCAAAGAGATCGGTACCACAGAGATCTTCGCGACAGCGCTCTTGCACTCTCCGAATGGACGCTTCGTGACTGTCGTTGGAGATGGGGAATACATCATCTACACGGCACTTGCATGGCGGAACAAGGCGTTTGGCTCGGGCACGGGCTTCGCGTGGGCAGGAGACTCGAACACGTATGCGGTGCTGGAGAGCAAGGTGAAGCTGCGTGTGTTCAAGAACTTCAAGGAGCGTGGTGGGGCGGGGATGAAAGGTGCGGGAAGCTGGGCGGTGGATGCCATTTATGGGGGTCCGGTGCTGGGTGCGCGTGGAAAGGGCTTTGTGATCTTTTGGGATTGGGAGAGCGGGGAGATTGTGAGGCGGATTGATGTGGAGGCGAAGAATGTGAGTTTGTGCAACTGGTTGGATTATTGTGATGCTGACGTTTTGGTAGATCTTTTGGTCGACGACAGGGACGCTCGTGGCGGTTGTCTCGGATGATTCTTTCTACATTCTCAAGTTTGATCGAGATGCCTACAATTCCAAACTGGAGGAGGGTGCAGAGATCACGGATGAGGGTGTTGAGGAAGCATTTGATGTCGTTGCTGAGATTTCGGACAGGTGCAGTAATGTTGATCAGCAGTTTTCAAGCACGACTGATTGCGTTGATTTCAGTGTCAAGACGGCAAAATGGATAGGAGACTGCTTTATCTACACCACGGCTGGAAACCGCCTCAACTACTTCGTGGGCAACGAATCGTACACTATCAGTCCATCTGATACGTGAGTGTATGGAGTGTTTTGTTGGCAAATTTGAACTGACATTGTCGCAGCTCCATGTATATACTGGGATACATACCCGCACATAACCGGGTGTACCTTGCGGACAAGGACATGAATGTTTTCGGATATTCGTTATCCTTGAGTGTTGTAGAATACCAGACGGCTGTCCTCCGTGGTGACATGGACTCGGCAGCCGAAATTCTGCCCACTTTGCCCAAGGAGCAGCTAAACAAAGTTGCTCGGTTCCTGGAGGGTCGAGGTATGCGTGGTTCTAATTACGTATCAACACCCGGGATTCAACCACTTTTTCTCCAGACCTCAAGGAGCTTGCTCTGGAGGTCACTACCGACCCGGACCACAAATTCGACCTCTCGCTGCAGCTCGATGACCTAGACACGGCTGTCGAGATTGCGCGCTCTGTGTTGGAGCCAGAAGCGGAGACGAAGTGGAAAGCGATCGGCGATCGTGCCCTTACGGTGTGGCGATTTGATCTTGCGCGGGAAGCATTTGAAAAAGCGGGTGATTTGAGTGCGCTGATGCTCCTTCTACTTTCGACGGGTGATCGGGATGGGCTGGCGAAGCTTGCGGCGACTGCTGAGAAGAAGGGAGCGAACAATCTGGCGTTTGCGACGCTGTTCCAGCTGGGCGATGCGAAATCGTGTGTGGATCTACTTGTGAAGACGAATCGTGCGCCTGAAGCTGCGCTTTTTGCACGAACGTATGTACCGAGGTGTGTTGTTTTTTGATTCGTGGTGGGACGTTTGATGCTGATTTTGGTACAGTGAGGTGCCGAAGGTGGTAGATGTGTGGCGGGGCGAGCTGCGGAGTAAAAATAAGGGCAAGGTTGCAGGGAGCATCGTGCACCCATCTGAGCATGCCGAGCTATTTGAGGAAGGGTGGGAAGAGGCACTTGCACGCGAGACTGCTGGGCCTGTAGATGTGAACGGAGATTCCGGTAAGTTTTGTTTTTGATTGGGATCTGGTGAGCGCTTGTTTCGATGACTGATGGGGATTTAGACATTTCGCCGAATGAGAGTGAGGAGACATGATCATGGGATTGGGGCAGTGAGAGGACGATCCTAGTCTACTTATAGCATACGGTTTTGCTGCGCATGTCTAAATGCTACTTGTTCTTTTTACACTACGACGTTGAGCTCAGCGCTCGCTGCTGGAGAATTCGATGATGAGCTATCCTTTGAAGAAAACGGGTATTGTGTGGTTCGTTGGTTGCCGGATTGGCTTTTGAAGGTCTAGAACCCACTAACCCAATTGGGTGGATGACACGGTCAGGTCGGCTGGCACGCTTTGGATCTTTACCTGCTCTCTACGACAAGGCCGCATTTTTTTTCTTCCTTTAGGTCTCTCTCTCTTGTCGTTGCCGTTGATCCTTCCTTCTTTCATATTCAATCTTTTTGTCGTTCATTTGAAGCAGGCCAGCAATGGCCTCTGCGTCTGGTTCACTTGCCAACCACGCCGTCAATTCCGGCGACCTTGTCGACCTCGTTTCCTCATCATCCTCTGCAACGGTATACCCCAACGACGATGCCATTGTCACCGTCCTCAACACCCGTTTTCGTGCTGATTTACCATACACAAGAATAGGCACCACCAACTTGCTCGTCGTCAACCCATTCAAAACACTTGCCAACGTCAACGACATCAGTGCCAAGGAGTATGAAGAGCGGTGTTATAAAGATACCAGCTTGCCACTTGCGAGTTCTAGGTTGCTCCAACCGCACCTTTATGAGTTTGCGGCTCAAATATACCTTTTAATGCGTCGGCGGAACCAGTCCCAATCCGTCATCACTCGGTTCGTACGCTCTATTGTCTGCTATTGTCTACACACTGACCCTCTAATTAATAACCAGCGGCATCAGCGGCTCAGGCAAGTCATCCAGCACCCGCCTCCTAGTCGACCAGCTTCTTCGGCTCTCCGCCCGCTCAAAGAAGGAAAAACGCATCGCAGGCCAAATCAAGGCGTTCTCCACGTTGCTCGACTCATTTGGAAATGCCAAAACTCTTCTAAACCCAAACGCCTCGCGCCACGCGCGCTACTTCGAGCTTCACTTCAATGCCCGTGGACGCATTGAGTCGGCTAAAGTCCTTGCGTTTGCGCTTGACAAGTCCCGCCTTACGCGCCTCACGCATGAGGAGCGCACGTTCCATATTTTTTACCAGTTTTTAGCGGGTGCTACGCCCCAAGAGCGGGACCACTTTGCGTTGGAGGATCCTTCTGATTATTCGTTGTTGGCGTCGTCGGGGTGTTATCGCCTGCCGAGTGGCCCTTTCAGCGATGACGCTATTGCGATGGAGGAAGTGTTAGCTGCGATGCGTACCCTGGGCTTCAAAGCGAAGCATATCTCGTCGATATTCACGCTGCTCGTTGCGATTCTCCTGCTGAGCAACATCCAGTTCTCAGAAGCGGATGCACGTGATGTTTCTGCATATGTTGCTAATGCGCCTGTGCTGGAGCAGGTGGCGAGGCTCCTTGGTGTGTCTTCTGAGGATCTGACGCTGATTCTGACGACTAGGACGAGCTATGTTCGGAAGGAGCTTTATACGGTTTTGCTTAATGTGGAGCAGAGCGCAGCGCAACGTGACCAGTTCATGCGCGACTTGTATGCTATCCTCTTTGCATACGTCGTCGAGACCGCCAACCACAAGGTCGTTCAGGCCAACCGGGAGGAGCTCCCTCACTCGCAGATTGTGATCTTTGATCAACCTGGATTCCAGTCTCGTGGACCGACGGGCAGTGGCTCGATGTCATTCACGGGGACTGCTCCCTTGATTTCAGCATATGGACAGAATGGGTTCGATGAATTCTGCATCAACTTTGCGGATGAGGTCATGCAGTCTTACATGCTTCGCAGCGTGTTTGAGGACAGGCTTGGGTACAACAGTCACGTCACCGGCGATGGTGTCCCCCTCCCTTCGATATCTACCATGGACAACTCTGCTTGCGTCGATCTGCTTCGGGGTGCTCAGGTGTCGGAGCGCTCTACCAGGAAGCCGGGAGGCATGCTTGGTGTGATCAGCAAGTCATGCTCCTCATTCAAGTCCGGAAAGGCGGGTGAGAAGAAAGATGAAGATATGTTGCAGGACCTCATCTCCAAGTGTGGGTCTCATGCGTCCTTTGTGGCGACCCCATCCCAGATTGGTTCCAGCGAGAAGAGCCTGTTTGGTATCCACCACTACGCCGGGAACTGCTCGTACGACGTCACGAGCTTCGTTGAGAAGGACTCAGACCTGCTTGATTCTGCGTTTGTGACTCTTCTGCGTAATTCCTCTGACGCGTTCATGTCGAAGCTTGTTTCTGGCCCTTCTCTTGCGGCGGAAAGACATTCCAAAGATGAGGCTATCATTGTACAAGCCCAAGTGTCCTCTCGCCCGCTTCGCTCACCTACCCCCATTGCTTCTCCCAACGGCACAGCACCTCCGGCAAGTGAAGACCATGCACGTCTTGATTCGTCCAAGATATACCCCGTTACTACCCAACTCAACCATACCCTTTCCGAAATCATCGCCTCTCTCGACCACACACATCTTTGGACTATCTCGTGCATCCGTCCTAATGATTCCAATTCGCCAAACTCGTTCGATAAGCGCCGTGTCAAGGCGCAGGTGCGGTCGATGCTTATACCTGATATCGTTGCACGCCGGAGTGTCGAGTTCGTTACGGACTTTCAGCAGGTGGAGTTCTGTGACCGGTATGTGCCCACTATGCGTGGATCGGATATGGAGCGGATCTGTCAGTGCTGCCGCAAGTAATGGATGGGAGGAGGGGAATGACTACGTCGTGGGCCATCGGAGCATTTGGCTTTCGTACGGTGCGTGGAAGACCGTGGAGGATGTTGTGAGGGCTGCCGAGAAGGAGCAACCGAGGCGTTCTGGCGAGGATTTCGATGATGAAGAGAGTGCTGTTGGAGATGATGTGACGGACTTTACCCATCCAGATGGTGTCCATGGAGGATACGCTTCCGAGAGCCGGGATAATTTACTGGTCGCGAGGGCGAGCAGTGGAGGGTCACGATACCAGGATCCCAACCGTTTAGCGCCGTACGGAAACGCTGGATTACCTTCCCCTGCCTTGGGAATTCCTACTTATGACGACAACGATGCTGAGTCGGCATCCGAGTGGGATAAGAAAGGTGGGAGCCCTGGCATGAGCTCGCCTCCCTTCATGTCGAAAGAGGGTGAGATGATCGTCAACAAGGCCCCGGCCGCAGTCGAAGAAGTTCCTTCAAGTACTTCACGCCGATGGTGGCTCTTCCTTGTCTGGGGTTTCACCGGCTGGATACCTTCATTCGTCCTTCGCTACGTCGGCCGCATGAAACGCCCAGATATCCGGCTCGCCTGGCGCGAAAAGCTCACCATTTTCATCCTCATTTTCCTCATGAACGCGCTCGTCATCTTCTATATCGTCGAGTTTGGAAGGCTTTTGTGTCCTAACTTCGACAAGGCGTGGTCGCCGACGGAAGTCTCGGAGCACACTGGCGACGCTGATTGGTGGATTTCAATACAGGGGCAGGTGTATGACATGTCGAACTTCATCCACGGTGACCACAGCGATCTATCCGGTATCGCTAGTAACTCTGCGAGCGACCTTGAAGAGCTTGTAGGACAGGACTTGACGGATTATTTCCCCCCACCACTTACTCTGGCCTGCCCCGACCTGGTCACTCAAACCTCATTGCAACTTACACGCAAGAACTTTACACCCATCGTCCCGCTCGCTATGCACGCATCTGGTGCCGCAGAGACTACACAGGGCACCGCGCTTGATAATGCGGGTTGGTACACTGCGACATTCCAGCCGAAGATGAAGAATTATCACAAGGGGCCTTTAGTCTGGACTACGAAGGAAGTTGCCGCGCAAGCTGCGGACCAGACCATTCAACGGTACGTGCTTGACTAATGTTCACCCGGTTGGTTACTAATACGACTTTTAGCATCTGGGCTATCTGGGACAGCGGCGTGTATGACTTGACGGACTACATCTACACTCTGACGATGAACCAAGGCGCGACGAGTCTCTACCAATTCTTGAGCACGGACGTGTCGGATGTCTTCAAACAGCAAGCTGGGCAGGATATCACGAAGCCGCTCAATGCTGCTCTTGCGGGTCTCGATTCTAATACGGCGGCGGCCAACATCAACTGTTTGAAGAATACGTTCTATCTCGGCGAGACTGACTTCCGGGATACGCCGAGGTGTCTCGTGCAGAACTACTTGCTATTGGTGTTCACGAGTATTCTGTGCGCGTCTATCGTGCTCAAGTGTATGTCCTTCTTTTGCAGCTGGTCGTTTTTCGATCAATAATGTTCCTCCCAGTCCTTTCCGCGCTACAACTGGGTCCCAAGCGGTCGCCTGAGATGCAGGATAAATTCATCCTTTGCCAAATCCCTTGTTACACGGAGGGCGAGGATTCTCTGCGCCGGACAGTCGATTCATTGGCGTCGTTGAACTACGATGACAAGCGGAAACTGCTCTTCATCATCTGCGACGGGAACATCATCGGCAGTGGGAACGACCGCACGACTCCTCGTATTGTGTTGGATATTCTTGGCGTAGACCCTAAGCTCGATCCTGAGCCTTTGTTATTCAAGTCGATCGGCGAGGGCTCGAAACAGCTTAACTATGGCAAGGTGTACTCAGGCCTGTACGAGTTTGAGGGACATGTCGTTCCGTGAGTGTCTGTTCTTCATCTATCTGAGTGTGAGTCTGAAAATCGTTTGCAGGTACATGGTAGTCGTTAAAGTTGGCAAACCTACTGAGCGATCGAAGCCTGGAAACAGGGGCAAGCGTGATAGTCAGATTCTACTCATGCACTACTTGAATCGCGTTCACTTTGATGCGCCAATGTCGCCCCTCGAGCTCGAGATCTATCACCAGATGAGGAATGTCATCGGCATTGATCCTGCTTTCTATGAGTACATTTTCACTGTCGACGCTGATACAGTGAGTTAATCGTTTTGGTTCATTGATTTATGTTGATGTTGATGTTCTTTGCAGCAAGTCACACCTGAGTCTCTGAATCGACTGGTTGCTTCCGCTGCAGATGACTCGAGTATCATTGGTATCTGTGGCGAGACCAAGCTCACGAACGAGGAAGGTTCATGGTGGACGATGATTCAGGTTTGTGTATCCCTTTTACCTCTACTGTTAACCAAGCTGACATTGTATGCAGGTATACGAGTACTACATCTCTCACCATTTGTCAAAGGCCTTTGAGAGTTTGTTCGGCTCAGTGTCTTGTCTTCCTGGATGTTTCTCGCTGTACCGTATCCGTACAGCAGACAAGGGCCGGCCTATCATCATCTCGAATCGCATTATCGACGAGTACGCTGAAGGCAACGTAGATACGCTTCACAAGAAGAACCTGTTCTCTCTCGGTGAAGATCGTTTCCTGACGACGCTCCTCCTGAAGCACTTCCCCACGTTCAAGACCAAATTCATTCCGGATGCGGTTGCTCATACCATGGCTCCCGAATCTTGGCGTGTTCTGTTCTCACAGCGGAGACGGTGGATCAATTCTACGATTCATAACTTGTGCGAGCTCGTGATTTTGCCTGAACTTTGCGGCTTTTGCTGTTTCTCGATGAGGTTCTTCGTTTTCATCGACCTGTTGGGCACCATCGTGAGTGTTGTGTCTTTGTATCCGCATTTCTTTGACTGTCATTTTCTTGTAGATCCTGCCAGCCACGGTCGTCTACGTGAGTCCCAGGTGTATTCAGCCTGACATACGTTTCTTAAGATATTACTCCGACAGTTGGCTTATCTCATCGTTGTTGTTGCTACTGGCAATGCGGCTCTACCACTGATTTCCATCATCATGTTGGGTATCACCTATGGTTTACAAGTAAGTCGTGTGATGTCACAGGACTGTACCTTGGTATACTTACTGTGCATTTCAGGCCTTGATCTTCATCATTAAACGTGAATTCATGTTGGTGGGATGGATGGTGGTCTACCTCCTTTCGTGAGTAGTTCGTATGCAGCATTGTGATGCTTATTTACCTCTGTCGCAGATATCCGGTATACAGTTTCTTCCTACCCATTTACTCTTTCTGGTGCATGGACGATTTCTCCTGGGGCAATACGCGTATTGTCATTGGTGACGGCGGTAACAAGAAGGTTGTCATGAACGAGGATGAGCGGTTCGATGAGTCGATGATCCCGTTGAAGAAGTTCAGTGGTAAGTTATTTCGACGTTATTTGCCACCCGCCAGCTCACGCAGTTGAATTCGCCCCAGATTACGAGGCAGAAGCTTGGGAGAATGGATCTCATCGCTCTGATGAAACAGGTTTAACCAAGCCTCGTTCCAATCGTTTCCCTCCTTCTCGTCAAGGGTCCCCCCAGAGCTTCCACCCATCTCTCACCGGCGATTACTATCGGGATACGAACATGACCAAGAACAACTCGAATCCCAATATCCGCGGGCCGGCCTCCCACATCAGCCACGGTTCTCGACAGGGGTCGATGTATGACGGGCGGCAGCCATCTGTACCTCAATACAGCGTTCCGCAGATGCCATTTATGTCGTTTAGCGGTGGAGCCGGTTCAGTGCATGGTTCGGACTATGGACATATGGCTATGATTCCGCCCTTGGGGTACCAGCACTCTGGCAGTGCATACGGTGGGATGCCTCAGGATTCACGTGCCATGATGATGAACATGCCCATGATGACGGGAGGCTCTCAGACAGGCGGCTTTGGCATGCTACCCGCGATCGGAGGAGATGCACGGCCCTTGTCGATGTTCTCAATGGCGACGTCCGTAAATGCGTTCGCTGGTCCGAGCTTCAACCCCCATCCTACCGACGAGGATCTCTTCAATTCCCTACGGAACTACCTCAGCACGCAAGATTTGATGACAGTCACGAAAAAGTATGTTGCATACCATTGTTTTCTTCTTACCATCAGTATTAATTCTTCATAGGACCGCTCGTGAGGCGATCATGGCCAAATTCCCCAAAGCTGATCTTACATCCCGAAAAGACTTTTTGAACGAGTCGATCGACAAGATTCTGTCACAGTCGTAGAGTGAGAGCGACATTTCTATTGCGTGATCTCCATAATATTCTTTACTTCGTGAACGGCGCCGATGTGCCTTGAACACTCCCTGGTCACCGTACATTTCATTCTACTTCGGACAATCGTTTGGTCGCATATGGACACTCCTCTCGTCCCCAGAATTATCACTGCATCGTTGTATCATCCTTCTTGGACTATGCACTCGTACGTATCATAAACTTTAACCTACATAATTAGGTCTCTGGATATGGGTGAGACTCCAATACACTCTCTTAAATTGATGAATTATTCGATTATGTTTGCCCATCTGATTTTGGAGCGCTATGCCTTGCACAGCCATCGACCATGAACGTGATTTCCGTGGCTGCTTGATATAGTCACTTCCATTTAATCATCTATATACGCCACGTTGTAGTAGACTCAGCTCATGGGCGTCGGATACATAATTAGCCATAGGTCGCGACAGCTCACAAGGTACGCTTTCAAACAATACTGTGACAAAGGACTACCTTTCCTCACTTCGTTGCCCAAGATGCCTGCAGACGAATCCACATGTACATCTGCTCCTCGCCCGTCATACGTCCATACATTTTCCAGGCCAACCATCGAGCTTTTCGAGGCTGCGCTTCCCACGTTGAAAGAGGAGTCCAGGCAGTGCGTCCCGAATGTTTCGACCATTGGAGAATGCTGAAGTCGTGCATACTGAATACTGATGACAGATGCATCGAGAACCTCTTGCGTTACCGTGCACCGCGCCCACAGATCAAGTTCCCTCGAAGTCAGAGCGCAGCAGTCCTGGTTCCGTTGTTTATCGGTCGCGCAGGAGACCTGTATGTGTTACTGAGTCGGTGAGCTACTAGTCAGCTGTGTCCTGTTTATAACTGAGCAGCCCTAAAAGGCGGTCAGCTAGCTTGAGGCAGTATGCGGGTGATACTGCGTTGCCGGGAGGAAAGGTGGATCCCGAAGATATCACTATCGAGGATACTGCGGTACCCATGTGGAATTACTTTGTAAATCTCAGTCTGACTTGTCCGTTTGCAGAGGCGCGAGGCCTTTGAGGAGGTACGGAACTGCGTCATTACACAGGCCCCTATAGTACTGATGCTGTGGGGTAAATTCCGTCATAGATTGGGCTTGCTCCAGACCGGGAACGAGTGCCCTTGCTGTGTGTGATGGAGCCCTATCTTGCTGGTAACAAGATGGTAGTGACTCCGTGAGTCTGTCACTGGTGTTTTGCGCGGACTGACAATGGTCGCTTAGGGTCGTTGTCCTCATTCTCGACAAAACTATGCAGGTATGTCGAATTCACGTGGGGGTATCATCAGACGTTATAAGCTTCTCGGGTCGTAGCCCAATCTCAACGAGTCGGAGGTAACCTCGATATTCTCACAACCCCTCGCTTCCTTCCTCGCATCGTCCTTCCCTTTCCCCCCAAACCGTGTTGCAGATCCTTCGACGCCCTACCATACGACGATGGAGTTGGCGTGGAGCGGAGGCGGTACAATCCGCATCCATCGCTTCCTCACTGGACGAGAAACAGACGGCGTGAAACCCGTATTTGGGCTTACTGCGTGGGCTTACTAAAATAACACCCGCACAATTACTCACACTGATCGTAGGGGCATATTAATTTACGTCGCCGCCTGGGGGTACGGACGCGCTCCAGACTTTGAGTACCAGTCACCAAACGCGCCTACGCAGGCTCAGCAGATCGCTTCTGCGCTCCTCGCACCTTCGAATCCACTGCGGTTAGCGTGCGAGCGCGAGGCCATCGATGCGAATATGATGGCGTCATTCGTCCTGCATACACCGAAGGAGTCTAACTCCGAACCTGGTATAATCGAGTGGGATAGGATTGGTCAGGATTGGAGGGGTCTAACGGAGGGACTGATTTCAAAGCACGTCGATGTCATCAAAGAGGAGATGCATACCGACGCACATGAGCGCCAGGACATGCATAAGGAGAGGCGGGAACGCCATCGGGAAGTGGACGAGGGCGTGAAATCGGGCGAAAGTGAGGCTGCAGGGCGGCGAACTGGCCTGAATGTGCGCAAAGAGGGTAACGCTAAACTCTGATGTTAACAGCGGTTGCACCCTCACCGATACTGATTATGATTCGTCGTATTAAAACTAAGTTAGGGTGTCGTGGCTGACAGTCTGCCTACACACGCAAGAGTAGATGATTTATTAAATCCATTTGTACTTCTGCATATATATTTGTATGTATCTGAGCTGCGTCTTCGTCGAAACTTCTTAATTGTGTGCCATTGAAATCTCCTGGCTTCCCCTAGTCGAATGAAGATATATAGTCGTTCGTTCAGGTCTTCGAGCTGGAAGGCTCCAAATTATAAAATCCACACTTGATCCAAGTGGGCTTTAATTAATTCTACTGCGTCTCCGACTCACCGGTAGTCACAGCTATTACTATTGTCACTGAGTACTGATCAATTTCCCCTGAGGCCTGAGTACTTGAGTACTGCTAGTGGGCCTGAGTACTGACTCGTGGCGGTGAACCTTGATCCTTTTGTGGTTCCAATTTCGACTGTTGCTTTGATCTAATGGGAGGCACCGTAAGGTTGGGCTGAGTCCAAGCGTAAGCTCGGGCTAGACGCTGAGTGATTGAGCCGCTGGGTGGGCGGGCAAACGAACAGCAATTTTGGGATGCCTTGCAAAAGAGATAGGCGTTAATATTGATTGATGATGTAAGTTAAAGAAAGTAGCGGTGGGTGGGATTGGACGAAATAATGTGCGGTACGAAGTATTATGAATATGAGAGATTGAGTAAAGTAAAAACGATGGATAGCAAGGAATTGTGTTTATGAGTCCGATATGCAGATATACTAAGATTTGAATAGCGATATAAGAAAAGGTAAGGACCAGGCGTCTCGCTCACTTGGACGCGTGGTGCTGAATCTCCGGCAGGCTCCGAATCGGCGCTCATAGACATGTGGCGCAGAACTTCGAACAATATTATAAAGGCAGCCTCAACTACCCCTTTCATCGATTGCTTCAGAATCTCAAAACCTGGACACGCTCGGTGCCATGTCAGATTCATCAGGATCACAGGATCTTTCTGTGCAACCCCTGTCACTCACAAGGGAACAACGTCTAGAGTTCGATCGAGACATGTTCGAAAACATTAGCGGCATCCCTGGTAACCCGATGACTTGGACGGACCGACTGTTAGCCATCTTTATCAATACCGTTATTTCATACCCGCGTGATTATCTGAAGGACAAAGATGTCATGAAAAGTATGTCAACGACGGCTATATCGCAAACACTACAGCAACACCCTAAACTACGGGAAATGGTGCGCAAGATGTGCCAGACGGGCAAGCTCTCCGAAATCGCCGATTTCAGTGAGTATTTGTGCCAGTCAGATAGATACCCCCTCTGCTGACAGTTACTGGTAACACAGAAATATTTCAGATACCCCAAGCTAGCAGGATCAACATGCCCTTGGTTCACTCGCAAGGTCCGAGACTTTTACCCTGTGACATCTAGTGCAGTCCTATCTCACGTTAGTTGGATCCTAGACAAGGAATTTCTCTATAATTCATTCTACAGACCTTACCTTGGGAAGGCGGTGGACGGTTTTTACGAGTACCTGAAAGACAACAATATCAAGTTTAAGGGAGTTGGCGCCCATATGCCTTACTATGCCAAGTTCTGTTCGATCGTCCAAAGTTCTGGCACAGGGAAATCGAGACTATTGACCGAGGTGAGGCTTATAAAATGCTACATGCTCATATCAGGTGGCTAACGGTATCGGATTAGCTCCGGAAAAAAGGCGTTGTTGTGCTGTACATGAACCTTCGTGAACCAAGCGATGACGGCTTCCCGGAGCGAGACCCAATTCCTGCGCGTATATTGACGGAAAAAACGGACTGCGCTCAAACCGAGTATACCACTCATTGTTGCGCGCTATTTACAGCCATATTCCGGGCGCTCACGAAGGAACTAGGGAGTAAGCCTTCGCTGCCCCCTGGTGATCCAATCACATCGTGGAATGATAAAATGTGCGACGTGCGCTCGAAAGCTCGTACCAAGTTCTTTCAGACAGTTGAATCTCTATATGAGAAAGTGAGCAGGGAAATTCATGGTCGATCGACAGATGGACCAAATATGTCTGCAACAGATCCTTAACGAGATCAAACTGAAGACACTTGAAAGGAACGCAGATACGGATCGTGCTGTGCAAACAGTGCAGCAGACTGTCGTCGAGTCAGACAGTCTGTACAGCGACCTGGAAGAATCACAGCAAACCAATGACGCTAGCAGCTCAGCAGCGGCTTCGCAATCACGTCAATCACCTGCATCCAAGAAACGCAAGATATCAAACGAAAAAGCCGAGCCTTCGGGAAGTAAAAGTAAAAGCTTCATTTTGCACATAACAGCCACCTCAGCTCACACCGTGCGTGAGCAGATGACGTCCCAGCGCCGAAATTGGAAGGGGAATCGTTTGTCAAGGAAGCTTATGCAGAGATGTTGACAGCTATGTCAGGCGTGTTTACTGAGCAGGACGAGGATTACCCCAAACTCGTGATTTCAGTTGACGAGGCCCACTCTCTGACAAAAACGAGTAGCAACGGTTTTCGTCCATCACATATTCTTGGGAGGGTGATCAACTGCTACTCCGAGGGCGAGGATACATCAGTCTGGGTCGTATTTGCATCCACGACTCCACATGTGGTAGATTTTTTAGCTCCTCCGGTGATCCGTAAGCACCCGTTCTTCGTCGTCCGTTTCCAATCTTCACACAATCCTGCAGATGATTCTCAGCGCGTAGCAGTAGGCGGCCACCTTTTATTTCAACCTTATACGCATCTTGGTTGGGACCAGCACGCAGACCGTTTGTCTGATATACCGGCGAATGACGCCGGAAAGTTCAAACACATCGTCAGATTCGGTCGTCCACTGTTTGTCCCTGTGTTTTTATCCTTGCGTTCAGTTTCGTTGACCACCTTGAATAGGTGGAAATCGCTTGTGGACACACGTAATATCGGTGATATTTTGAAATCGGCTGCTCACAAGCTGCTCAAATCGACTTTCTTTGACCCGTCGGATACGAACCAGGCTCTCGCTGTCCTGTCTCAGCGATTCGGTCTCGACATCTGCTTTGGTCACCCCGATGCCGTTTCTTATGTTGAAAAAGGGGTGGCTAGCCACCTGCGGATATGCTTCTCGACGACCCAAGATAGGTCATGGACCTATACCGGTTATCCATCAGAGCCCCTTCTGTCTTGTGTTGCAGCGGATCTACTCCATTCTGGGACCACCACCAGTCTAGAGGGCGCTTTGGGGGTCTTGAAGGAAAAGGTTGATGGGGGGATGGTCAACATAGGACAGAGCGGAGAGTTGGTCAGCAGACTTGTGCTGCTTCTTGCGAAAGACATGTACGTTCGCGGCCATCTCTCCGAAGGCACAATACACCATCTACGCTACAAGGGAAGTGGGGATGCGGAATTGATGGACTGCCAGAAGGTCTCCGTCCTCGATTTCCTGCGATACCTTTTTGGCAAGGAGTTCTGGCCGTTGAGGGCCAATACAGCTTTTCGGCACGCCTACATCAATTTCTCGCATTGGGTGTCCATGTCAGAGTTGATATCCCCCGGGGCGGAAGATCCCGAGCAACCTACATTCGAGCTGTTGAGGTAAGCTTCTAGATGTTGTCTCGCGATATCACTTACAAGATACCGCTGCCACAGTGCCGAGGAGTGGACTCTGCGACACTGGGTTCGCACAAGCGCGGTGCAATGCTGCCATCTGCAGCCGCTCGTTGACAAAATGATTCCAATATATTTTGATGATCCCACCCTCGGCTCCGACGATGTCCAACGCGTTTCTCAAATTTTCATTTCGGACAAAGCGGGGAAGAATCCTAATGCGCGAGATCTGGGGGTCATGATGCGCAAGCATGATTCGATCAAGTGTTTATCCGCTCTCCCATATATCGCTATCCTTCTGGACTTCGGTGTGGGGTCACGGGTCACAGCCACATTTCCAGAGAGAGACCCAAACCATGCCGAAACGGACCAATGCTTACGGATCTACGCTGCTGGAATGAACGACACCACATTCCCATTCTTATCTAAAACCATCGTTGCATCACAGCTACGAGGGCTTATCTCTCGGGAGGAAGCACCAACGCAGACGAATCTCGACGCCCTCGTCAAATTCGGGAGTACTGCTAGGTTGCGCAACCTGCAGTGGGAAAAACAAGACTGAGGTGTCGTCATAGGCTGCACTACCTGTCACTTACCTTCGGATCATCAAAATTGCACCTCGGCTTTGTCCATCAACAGACAAGAAATTGAACATGTCGTGGACTAGCACCCCCTGCGCGCGCTTTCGCGGCGCTATCACATTCAATATCCCTAATGCGTCAAGAGGCACCTACGGTCGGATTAAAAGACCAATGAATTACGGGTCGAAGGCCTCGCGTTTGCTGGAAGCTTTGACAGGTTTTGATAGGTAATATGATTGCTCAAGTTTAGAGGATGAGGAGAGGAACGTGCCAAGCTGTGCCGGGAGTGATAAATTGGTTCCTGTGCTAGAGCGTCTTGCAATCCCGTTTCCATTTCCCACTTTTGCTGTGTGCTCGTAAGCCCCTGGCGTACTGTAGTATTCAACCTTTTGCGTTGCTTGCTCTTCGCTGTAGTTTCGCTTTGGACGCCAGCGGATGCATGAACAGTTGCTATTGAAGTGACATTGTGAGGAGGCAACAGAGATCACCCTCGTCCCACTGTCTCAAACCACATCTAGTCTCCTGGAGGCGTTCACTTGATACCAGGACGCAGGCCCTCATATCTCCTGGAGAGAATGCAGCCGCTAATTGATTTTGCAGAGACTCGGAGACTAGGCAGATATGGACGAGTTCATTATATGTAAGTACCAAGGCAGACGTGAAGAAGGCTGCACGCGATTCCCTCACAAAGGCTACTGCGTTGGTTTCAAACAAGGACTTTGAATGCTCTCACAGCGCAGACTGACGCGCTTAATTGACTGTGTGAAGAGATGCGCGCATTGGACGGTGAGATTGTTCGCGAGGAAGCTGAGTTGGACGATTTCAAGAGAAAATGTGCGAAGAGCTGGATACAGGCCAAGTTCGGAGGTCTTGCAGAGTGTTGTGAGAAGGGTGTGGTAAGTTATTTTGTTCTTTCACTCACTCTGCACCTCATTTTTTACTCAGATTGTTGGCGACATAGGCAAAACTATCATTGCAGTAGTATGTTCTGGTGTACACTCACAGGCCCTATTATGACCGTATTTTGTAAGAAATTCCCGAAGACGTGACACAACCAGGACTTCCTCGAACGTATTATAGCGCTCACCAATGTGTCGGTGCCCTTGTATCTGAGGCACAGCGTGGTATTGCGCAAGTGGCCTTTACGGCTATCCCATCTGGCCGCGTCAGCCAAGGAGAGTATCAACTTGACCCAGACCTCGCCACAGATGCAAGTACAACAGTCGTTGTTGGGAGGTTCTCAAGGCTCTTACTTGTCGGGGCAGGCTTACCCGCCTCAACTACACCAAGAGCTGCAAACCCATATCACTCAACAAGTGCCTTCTCAACCGCCCTCGCCTCTTGCACCACCTAATGCGCCGTTCGCTCACCATTCCGTTTCTCCTCACCCCCAATTTAACGTTGACTCGGGCGAATCACGTCCTCTACCGAATATAGTTGCTTCTAGGAGTAGCTCGCCTGGTCCCACATCACCTAGACTCCCAGCTCTTATCAAGGCGCTCATAAATCCTGTCGAGGAGGTGCCCAATACCATTCAACTTCTCTCGGCTACCACATTCATTTCCGAAGTAGACTCTGCTATGAGGGCGAAGACCTGTGCAACTGCCAACCAATTGAATGTTGTCAACGTTGCATGGCTCGAGAACTACCTCGTCAGCCTGAAGACCTGTACTTCCATCGTCGTCTCACACGACTCTAGCTTCCTCAATAACACAATCATTGATATTGTCCACCTTAACCATTTCACAGTCAAGAGATACTGCAGTAACCTTGAGGCTTTCGTCAAGGTTTTTCCTGAGGTGAAGTCTTACTACACTCTTGAGGCTGCTGAGGACCTCTGTGGATCGTGAACATCGTCCTCCTTACCGTCGGACCTGTCATTCTTTTAATGTTGGTCTACGCCGAGCATATCATCAGAGTCATGTCTCGTATTCGTTCTGTTCGCGCCGAAAATGCTTTCCCACTGACAAAACATGGTGTTGTCCCTGCTCCAGAATAGCAAAAGCTGTCTATCCTCCTCCATCGGTATGTTCTAACATGGGCGCTGCTCGTATATGCAACATCTAGGCTCGTGTCGCGTGGATATCAAGATTTCCAGTGTTCTGCAAGTGTCGAAGCATGGTACTCCCGCATCAACCCGTCAGAAATCCCCAGCCCCATCAGCCATACCACCCGGAAGCAAGATCAGCTTCTTCCTAACCGTTGATTCGATCAAAGGCTTATCCTCACACGACTTCACAGCACTACACCTGCAGTTGCATTTATCGTCTTTCGTAGGACCATCACTCACGAGCAAAGAGATATTCTCATCCACTGCGCTCAATATGGAGATATCTTCTCTGTCAGAGCTAAAGTTTCGAGGAACGTTTTCGATCGTGACTTCTTCCAAGGTAATCACATACTTGCGCCAAGGCTACGCTCCCATAGAGTTATTTGCGGCTGCCAAACCCACATATTTGGAACGTCTTGAACGCTGGGATGAGATGCGAGAACTTAGGGTTAATGACTGGCCAGGTCCTCCCCCGAGATCCACACAGACACACGCAGAGTTATCTTTCCCCAGATGCGTCGCTCGGGGAGCGGTTTCGTAGTGGAGCAAGCCCATGACGTAGTCGCTTGGGTCCAGATAAATGAGCCTTAACTGTCTTGCACAATGGTGTAAATGACACTTGAACAGCATAGAATTGACTGGTAAATGTTCCAAGTACCAAAACTGAAGCAGTTGAAGAGCGAACAGGGGTAACTATGTTAATACCCAGCTAGTTGACATGCATATTACGTAGGAACATATACGCAATCGCACTACATTGCTTTTCACTACGGTCAAGATCAAGGCTCGAATTGTATTGAATTACCATACACCTCAGTCTTGTGTTTCCCACTGCAGGTTACGCAACTTGGCAGTACTCCCAAATTCGACGAGGGCGTCGAGATTCGTCTGCGTTGGTGTCTCCTCCCGAGAGATAAGCCCTCGTAGCTGTGATGCAACGATGGTGTTGGGTGTTAAGAATGGAAATGTGGTCTCTTCCAGTCCAGAAGCGTAGATCCGTAAAGATCGGTCCGTTTCGGCATCGTTTGGGTCTCTCTCTGGAAATGTGACTTTGAGCTGTGGCTCCACATTGAAGTCCAGACGAATAGCGATATATGGCAGAGTGGATAAGCATCTGATCGAATCATGCTTGCGCGTGATGGCCGCCAGCTCTCGCGCATTAGGATTCTTCCCCGCTTTGTCTGAAATGAAAATTTGAGAAACGCGTTTGAGATCGTCGGAGTCGAGGGTGGGATCATCAAAATATATTGGAATCATCTTGTCGACGAGCGGCTGCAGATCGCAGCATTGCACCGCGCTTGTACGAACCCAGTGTCGCAGAGTCCACTCCTTGGCACTGTAGCAGCGGTATCTTGTAAATGATATCGCTCGACAACATCTAGAAGCTTACCTCGACATATCGGACGTAGGTTGCTTGGAATCTCCCGGCCCAGGGCCGGGGGAGATTAACTCTGTCATGGACACCCAATGCGAGAAATTGATGTAGGCGTGCCGAAAATTTGTCTTGGCCTCCTCATCCGCCAACAACCAGAACGTCTCGCCAAAAAGGTATTGCAGGAAATCAACGACGGAGACCTTCTGGCAGTCGATCAATTCCGCATCCCCACTTCCCTCGTAGTGTAGATCCCGTATTGTGCCTTCGGAGAGATGGCCGCGAACGTACATGTCTTTCGCAAGAAGCAGCACAAGTCTGCTGACCAACTCTCCGCTCTGTCCTATCTCGACCATCCCCTCATCAACCTTTTTGTTCAAGACCCCCAAAGCGCCCTCTAGACTGGTGGTCCCAGAATGGAGTAGATCCGCTGCAACACAAGACAGAAGGGGCTCTGATGGATAACCGGTATAGGCCGATGACCTATCTTGGGTCGTCGAGAAGCATATCCGCAGGTGGCTAGCCACCCCTGTTTCAACATAAGAAGCGGCATCGGGGTGACCAAAGCAGATGTCGAGACCGAATCGCTGAGACAGGACAGCGAGAGCCTGGTTCGTATCCGATGGGACATAAGTGTTCGATTTGCAGAGCTTCAGAGCAGCCAATTCTAAAATGTCAGCGACAGAACGTTTTCCCGCAAGCGATTTCCACCTATTCATGGTGGTCAACGAAAGTGAACACGAGGATAAAAACACAGGGACAAACAGTGGACGACCGAATCCGACGATGTGTTTGAACTTTCCGGCGTCATTCGCCGGTATATCAGACAAACGGTCTGCGTTCTGGTCCCAACCAAGATACGTATAAGGTGGAAATAAAAGGTGGCCGCCTACTGCTACGCGCTGAGAATCATCTGCAGGATTGTGTGAAGATTGGAAACGGACGACGAAGAACGGGTGCTTACGGATCACCGGAGGAGCTAAAAAATCTACCACATGTGGAGTCGTGGATGCAAATACGACCCAGACTGATGTATCCTCGCCCTCGGAGTAGCAGTTGATCACCCTCCCAAGGATGTGTGATGGACGAAAACCCTTGCTACTCATTTTGCTCAGAGAGTAGGCCTCGTCGAATGAAATCACGAGTTTGGGGTAATCTTCATCCTTCTCAGCAAACATGTCTGGCATAGCTGTCAGCATATTTTCATAAGCTTCCTCGACAAACGATTCCCCTTCCAAGTTCGGCGCTGGGACGTCATCTGCACGGTGTGAGCTGAGGCGGCCGTTATGTGCAAAATGAAACATTTGCATGTACCTTTCAGAGCCAGACCGCCTCCCATTGTGGGATTCATCAGTCTGATCGTGTCAAGGGTCTGTTGCAAACATCTTTGGTCCATCTGTCGAGCGACCATGAATTTCCTTGCTCACCTGCTCATATAGATATTGAACTTCCTCAAAGAACTCGGAACGAGCTTCCGAGTGCATGTCGCACATTTCATCATTCCATGATTTTATCAGACTATCAGAGCCCAGCCGATGCTTGTTGCTTAGTCGCTGCCGCAGCACCTTGAATATGGCTGTAAAGAGTGCACAACAACGAGCGCCATACTCGGCTCGAGTGCAATCCATTTCTTCCGTCAATATACGCGCAGGTACCGCGTCTCGGTTCGGGAAGCCGGCATCACTTGGTTCACGAATGTTCATGTACAGCACAATAACGCCCCTGTTCCGGAGCTAATTCAATTCCGTTAGCCACCTGATGCGAGCATGTGGCACTTTATAAGCCTCACCTCCGTCAATAGTCTCGATTTCCCTGTGCCAGAACTTTGGACGATCGAACAGAACTTGGCATAGTAAGGCTGATGGGCGCTAACTCCCTTGAACTTAATATTGTTTTCTTTCAGGTACTCGTAAAACCCGTCCACCGCCTTCCCGACGTAAGGTCTGGAGAATGAATCAAGGAAGTCCTTGTCTAGGATCCAACTAACGTGAGATGGGACTGTACTAGATGTCACAGGGTAAAAGTCTCAGACCTTGAGCCGAGAGCATGTGGAGGTCCCTAGCTTTGGGTATCTGAAATATTTCTGCGTTACCAGTAACTGTCAGCAGAGGGGTATCTATATGGCCGGCACAAATTCTCACCGAGGTCGGCGATGTGGGAGAACGAGCGATTCCGGCAGGCATCGTAGATTATTCCCCGTAGTGTAAGGTCTTCCTGTAGTATTGGGGTGATATCCCAGAATGTCATACTTTTCATGATAAGACGCTGGAGCAAGCCCTGAGCGTGCTCTATAATGATTACGATCATCATGGAAGCAATGGTAATTATCCCTTTGTCTTCGTCCCAGCGAGTCGGATCCGACTGGGCAATTGAATTGATGAACTGAGGGCCCCAATTTTTGAGGATAACTTGATTGAACTCATCACGTTGTTCCGGTGTGAGTGGCAGTCGTGCTACAGGAGGATACTGCGATCCTGATGAATCTGACATGGCACCGAGCGTGTCGAGGTGTGATTGATTGAGATTCTAAATATTCAAACGGCGCGTCCGAGGCCACTGATCGAGGCTTCAGGGAAAGACGAAAATGAGTTGGGGTCACCTACTCTCCATGCATTCCAGGACCCTATTCCAGGACCCCTATTCCAGGACCCGGTACTGGTTTCAGGATGTTGAACATCGATCATCCCGGATTCTTCACGATGTTTGTTTATATTTAATTGTCTCTGCTCTGTGGCACGTGTGCTGGGAATTCGCGCCAACGCAAACATTTGGAAGGAACGACAATCTCGTGCGAAAGCATAGGGATCATGGCATAGTGCCTCGGAGGATATGAGTGCAAAGAAGGTGATAAGAGAGAAACAATGTCCTAGTTGTTTGTATCACCTTGAGAAACCGTGAAGAAAGGGAACGGCAAGGAAAAAACGCTCGTCATTACTTTAAATCTTGGATGTTGCAGAGGTGTATGAAACGTATCGAATGCACAAGCCAAGCCATATGTGTCGGAAAGGTCCTGGAATGCATCCAGTAGGGCCGTACTATCAATGTATTTGTCTTCAAGTTGTTGTAACCCGAATATAGTTCTGTGCACATGCTATCAGCTTACACGTGCGTGCACCGTGTCAGTGGTTTGGTAACTTTGTACATACTTAATCGACTGTGTCCTTGAGCCTATTCTTTTCGATGTGCCATCATCCATCATGGTCAAAACCACTGGGTACCCGCTTGTCCTCCCGTTGTCTAGTTCTGGGAAGCCTGTTGCATATGACGATTCTCGTTCAAAATATTATCGCCTACTCTCTAGTTCTTTTCCAGTCAGGAAAGCAGTTTCAATCTCGCTAGCATTCTCCATAGTGTTGCTATACGCACATTTTTTCCACCTTGGCCCGCGATTTTCATCGGAAAGCAACTATCACATTCGTTCTGGCGAGTCACAACGATTTTGGGGGCCGTACTCTCCATACTCTCCTGTCGAAGAATACCAGCCGCCTCCCGACGGATGTAGCGTAACACAGGCAAGTACACTTGTCACATATCTAGTCTTTAATAACCACTACTCGTATCACTCAAGGTCAACATTGTAAGTAGATTCTGGTCATAAATGACCACGAGTTCTTCGCCTAAAGCATCAACAGCTTCAGCGTCATGGAGCCCGGTATCCGACTAGCGGCACCTCTAAGGAAATCCAAGAAAGTTTACAGAAATTGCTGAACGCTTCCAAGTATATCGACGTGAAGCTGCAATTTCTCCGTTCATACAAATGGCACCTCGGTGAAGCTGACCTTGTGCCCTTCGGCGCCACACAGTAGGACTATCAACGCGTACTTTCAGCCCTATGTCAATGCTTAAGGATTGTTTTTAGGTCGTTTCAATCGGGTGCAGAAATATACCATCGGTATGGACATCTTGTTGACCATCACACGTTACCTTTTGTCAGAGCGTCTGGAGGAGATCGCGTAGTGAAATCTGCTGCCAATTGGACTGCAGGTAAGCATACAGTTGAAGTACAAAACTCATTCTGGACAATTGCAATTTCAGGCTTTGCCGATGCAAGTGAACAGCTCTATCATCCGTCAGTTTCAGTCATAATACCCGAGACAGAGACGGTGGGATGCATACCGATCAAGCTTGATTCGCTCGTGACTCATCTGAGGTCTTCATTCTAGTCGAACAATACCTTGGAGGACCATATGTGTCCCAACTCCCAAGAATCACATGATGAAGCGAACGTGTGGCGAGATATATTTTCTGTTCCGATCGTACATCGTCTTAATACAGCTGCTGTTGGAGCTGGGATTCTCAGCGAGGACATACCCGGGCTAATGTCCTTATGCGCATTCGAGACCGTTTTCGAGGAGAAAGAAAGCCAATTTTGTGATATCTTCTCTCTAAAGGAATTCCAGTCCTACGACTATTATCACTACCTGCTAAAATATTACAAGACAGGGTGAGTAACCCATCAACGAGTCATTTTGGTGCTCACACTGCAACAAGGTATGGAAATCCTCTGGGTCGTGTGCAAGGTGTCGGCTACGTCAACGAACTACTTGCGCGTCTTAGTGGGAGACCTGTTGAAGATCGCACACAAACCAACTCGACTCTTGACTCATCACCGATCACGTTCCCGCTTAACAGAACGGTCTATGCTGACTTCTCTCACGACAACCAGATGGTTGCCATCTATGGTGCACTAGGACTGTTCCCCCAGACGTATCCTCCTAACCCCACAAACGCTGACCCGCGATGGGCGTGGGTAGTGTCTCGTCTTGTGCCTTTCTCTGGGCGGATGATCACGGAAAAGGTGCAGTGTTTCGAAGCGGGGATACCAGGAGATTTTATTCGGATTCTCATCAACGATGCCATTCAACCCTTGGAGTTCTGTGGTGCGGGTGATGGATTGTGTAGGCTGGATGCATTCGTGGAGAGCCAAGTCTATGCTAGACGCAATGGTGCTGGTGATTTTGAGAAATGTTTTCCAGAATAGATTGTAACCCCCTTGCGGGGGGTGATGTAATATTAGTGTCTCGGCTGACGTAACCGCGCGTGCCCTTGGATCGAGACGACCATCACCTCCGATTCGAATCTTTCATCATGCCTCAGCTTTACAGGCGAGAATCACGGATTAATGACGTAGAACCTTCAGAACACTTGGAACCAACAGATGTGGACGATTCCATCGTCCTCTCAGATCTTGTTCGCAGCGGCGAGGCATCCAGATTGCGGAGAAGAGGCGCAATGCGACTTGATCATAATCTCGTCAACGCCCAGCGCGCAGAAGCCGGACGTGTAACTCCGCCAGTAGTACTGAGGGTGGAGAGGTCACCCTCGTGGATTGAATCTCCTAGCGATGACGAGGAGTCAAGCCAGACTTGGGAGCAAAGCTACGAAGCGCCGCTGTCGCCGCAGACGGACACGATAGCTGCTGTAGGGCCAGACCCATATTGCCACACATTATTTTGTGGCGGGGACGACGAGCAACTATGTGTAAACAGGCCCTCGGCCTGTGTTCTGTCGCCACTACCGTCATATCCACCACCACCGCCTTCGAGCGGCTATCAGGCACCCAGATGGCAAACCAATGGATGTGGAGCCGTCATTCATATGCGAGCTTCGCGTCGGGGTAACTCTGGTGTGTGGGTAGCTAGGAACGAGGCATCATCTGCTGTCGTTCCATTGGACACGTCATACTTTGAGCGTGCTGCGGTTATCCGAATGGTCCGCAGCGCATGTGGATGCCTTCGTGAAGGAGTTGGATGTGCCATATGGTGAGCGCCACATTCTACAAATGATTTACAACACATCTGACTGTTTTTCAAGCGGAAATCCCTTAGGGTCTAGGTATAAACCATGCCAGGCTGCAGCGGAGGGTCTCTTTGCTTCTCGCCATCACCCCTCGGGCCCTCTGACTCCTGAAGGTCCTAGGTATTGGCATGCACACTCATCACCTCTGCAGCATGCACAATCCTACGTGTATACATTTTTCGCTGAGAACGTGACATCTACACCGACGCACATGACAGCTCAGGACGAATGTCTGTCTCCTGCACTGCAACAAGATTTCCTGTCACCTATCGACAACCCATATTCCTACACATTTTTTGATCGCATTGTCACCGCTTCACCTTCACCCATGTCAAATCGTGGACGTGACAGCCCCGACTCGGATATTTCATCGCGCGTTGAGCCACAGTTTGATCCAGACGGTGTGTTCATCACTGCTGAACCTGGATCACCAGACAAGATAGGTTCCGGGTTGACTCTTGTCCTTGAGCGGTAATACCTTTCTTGATGAACTCTTTGTTCAGCATTGATATTATTTGGCGGCATTGGACGCTCCTGCACAACTCCTGCAGCTCATTTTCGCATTTTAAATGTATCTTATTGGATCTGTTATCATTACCCAAAATCTATCCGCATTGTAGGGTCATTATCATCATATCATGCACACGCCATTTCCTCTCCCATCTTGTTCTACCATCTTGTACAATTTCATACATATCCACGTGCACGAACCACAGCGATATGAGTTCAAGTTTGCTTGTGAGACGATAGCCATATTTCTTACTTACAAGTGCTTACTAAGCGAGTGTATTACGGATTACGGTGTTATCCTGTTCAACCACATTCTTGGCCGACATCCACCTCCACTATCAGTTGCCTACGAACTTTTCACAACAACAGTTAAAGGCGACTACGACCTACTACGAAACAGTGAACTTACAAGGTGTGATCTCAGGCACGAATGCATAGGGAGCCTCTATCTCATGTGACTGGTACTGGTAGTCTGGCGCATCCCCTCTCCGACATGCCAACTTTTTGTAACTCAAGTTGATAAACTGGAGGAACAAAATATTTCGCCTTCATGAACAACCACGAATTCACGAGTCGCTAAAACACGCACCTGTCACCCTTGGCGGAGGCCATCGAATACCTTGGCCATAGGCACTATCTCAGGCACGCTGACGTGAGTTTTTTCCGCTTAGTAAACTAGATTCCTTTCGCCGAGCTGATGTTTGACGACAGAGTATACGACCAAGCATGCATCGCGACTCACCTGTGTAGATGCCCATTTTGACACATAAACACATTCCAGTCCACCGGCAGTGGACATATACACGGAATTCCCCTTTCTCCTCGACTCCTCTGCTCCGTCCTCAGACTTCGTCCTGGCAAATTTGACTGAATCTCGGGTGGTGAGACGTAGACAAGGCCATATTGAAGAAACGGCTGTAGTGTCGATGAGGTTTATTGGTAAGTTGGGTTTTCATGGGGAGGGAAGGGCGTAGACAATGATGTTGATGATGTATTAGTTAGGTGGAAAAAAAGAAAGACGAGACCACCCTATCATATTACCTGAGCGCTGCGCCTAACGTGGAAACATTCTGATTTCCATTTCACCAGTCGGTGGCCTGTTTGAGGGAGTGAGATGGAGTCAGTCGTCTGGTCTACGCGCTTTTGGTGACCTGGTGCGTGTTTAAAAATTCCTTTGATGGCGTAGTGCGAGAATATGCACGAAAATGCACTTCATTCTCCACGCATCCTAATCCTGCGGGCGCTTAAAAAACGCGCTATGGAAAGGAGCACGCTGGCTTGTGCAGACCCCTTATACATACTACTCCTGACCTTGCTTCGGCTAGGAATAATATAGACGCTTTGATCCATCTCAAATGTCAAACCAAGCACAGCACTGACCAAAATCCTGCAGGTGTGTGGCGGCCTCCCAGGACACTACATCTACGAATCGATTCATGAGACTGAGTTGCTCGCTGCGCTTGACTGGATGGTACGTCTCTTACCTTGACCTTTGGTCGCGTGGTGCTTGTCGTGATCTGACATGTTCCACTACTTGCAGCACGCTTTTGGACGTGGAGGCGATGCGCCAGACTGTCACGTGGGGCGCTCGTTTAAAGTCTAATGACCAACTGTTCTGTGATAAAGAAGAGAGGAAGTTATTAATGTGCGGAGATCACCGTCCGTGTGGACCTGTTCCTGGCAACCTGGAGATGCAATGTGACTTGAGCGCGGCGGAGAGATGCATCGGTGGTTGGAGAAACATATTTTTCGTTAGTGTCAATAAGCATGCGATCTCTTGTCCAATGCATTTATGTTGATAAACTTTGTCAATTAGATATTAAGTGTGTAATTTTGAATGGCAATGACTGTCGGCGACATCTTGAGAAAACGACCGACAGGTTCATACGCACGAAGAATATACCCAGCTGAGGGAAAGTAATCTAAAATCGAGATCCAGCGCTTCGCGTTTAATGTTTGATCATAAATGACTTACTGCACTCTTCTTGACAATCCCCCTGATCGAAGATCCCCCAGCCAGGTTATCTGGATGGCCTGTGTCGTAAGATTGTCCGTTGACAAAATGTGCACATGTGAAAGGTCTGTGGATGCATTCCTTTGTATACAATTAAGCTGTGCTCACTATGCCGCTTAGTCTGTGCAAAGGTGTGGACGACAAGACGCAAAAGGAAGGAACGCGTCCAAGACCCGACGCGCCGCAACGTAAGCCAAATCCTTGATCTGCTTGTTGCAGGTGTCCCACGAGTTTAAATACTGCCACTTGTATCCCTGTCCATCTCTTCCACATCCATCGTATTTTGCTTTCCACATCTACCATCTAACTTGTGCACCGTGAGTTTCTCTTGTACACTTGCTTCACCTGTTGTTAGTTATCTTATACTGCTACGAGCTAGATCCTCGCCCAGTCCACAAGCTATTTCAAGCATTTTCAGTCATTGAATATGGACCAACATGCGAATCAAATTGACCAAAGTGGGATCGCAGGCCTGCCCCACCCCCAGCTTCCACCCCACCCTCACCCTCAGCTTCCGCCCCACCCTCACCCTCAGCTTCCACCCCACCATTATCCTCAGCTTCCACCCCACCATTATCCTCAGCTTCCACCCCACCCCCACCCTCTACCCCAGCACCAGCGCTTTGGACTTTACCATCCTATATACCCATGTCAGCTCATTGCACCTGTGCCGGCTTCCACAGCCTACGGAATTGCGAATACGGTGTCTAGTGCTGGCGTGCCTCGCGTCATGCAACATATGATGTGGCCCATAGGTGTTCCCCTTCCATTTCCAACCCAATTCCCCCAGCCTCATATGGTCTCGGGGCCACCGTACGGCTACTCCTTCCTTCCTCCCCTACCTTATGGCGCGTATGCCCCTGGCCCCCAGGCTGTGGGCGTAGCGCAGTATCACTACCAATCCGTACCCTCTACGGTACAATCCATCGATGTCCAACACCTCGAGCAGGGACCCATGCAGCAAGCGCGAGTAGGGAAGCGCAAGGCGGTGGATGATGATGCCGTCGGACGAGAGACTCGTACGAAACGCCCACGAGTGTACCATGGTATACCTCCCGACTTTGTGAGTCGAATTTATTTATTTAGTTCTGGCTATCCCACTGATGGCTGTTTCATCAGACACCGGTCTTGGAGGATGGCGAGGTCAAGTATAAATGTTCCCGTCCGCAGTGTGCAGGCGTACGTCCGATGAAAAAAGGCAGCATACGGAATCATATCGGAGGATCGAATACGCACAATGAGAGCGACGGTCAATTTACATGCTCATTTTGTGATGGCGAGTAAGTACCACACGTCTTTCAATGTCACTAGGGCTGATATATTGATTCTTACTAGTTATAGTCGCTCAGACTCTTTGAACCGTCATTTGAAGACTTGTCCCAAAGGGCCTGCCGCTGTTGGACCTGAAACTAACGACTCGCCTTCGGGAGACGATTTATTGGAAGAATTTGCAAATAGTGTGGACTGGGAATAGATTCCAGGATGTGACAATCATGCAACCGTGTATCTATAGACTTGTACAACACACCAATGCATTCATAAGCAGCCCATCAGATGCCCGAAGCATTTGATCACTCGCGCCAAATCTATCCTCAAGGTGTTACTATCGGAATCTAGGGCGTTTTTAATCGTTGCCATTTCATCCTAACGCTCTGACCCGACGTAAATACGTCTTGATCATATGAATTTGATACATAATGAAAGAGCCAGAGAACGGTAGGCTTCTTTCCAGCATCTGGCGGCCTAGCTGGAGGGCCTTGCAAGCCTCGTCCAAGGCATGTCACGGGGTGAATTCGGAAATGTACAAGGTTGTTGTGCTACAGCCTTACAGATTTGCAGAAATACACGAAATACACAAGGCTGATGTACCACAGCCCTCTTTCTGATTCACGATAGCAACAGCCGTGATTTACGGTCGTCGACCCTCATCGCTAGAATCAAATCCTCATGGAGGAACATGTGAATCCCTGATAGTAGGAGGTATTTACTCCCCCATCAGAGATAGGGGCCGCTAGGGCACGTGCTCAGTGGCTGTGATTGGCAGTTGTAGCGGAGTTAGCCGGATATTCAGATAGTCGCAGATGCCACGTACGTGGATGTTCTCCGTCTCTTCCTGTGCGCAGTCCTGCTAAGGAGGTGCCTTGGTGAATGAAGCGGCCTCTAATGGCTATTCACCAACGCACCTCCTTTGGCAGTAGTTTGTTCTTATTCATCAACAAGAAACAGATTCATCCAGATTCTTGTGCCTTCGTGTATGATCATGATGGTGTACCAACCGATCACTGCTGATTTGTAGATCGACGCGAATTCCTCAATTTTCATATCGCTTCAATTTCCAACAACTCAAAACTGGAGCTAGGAAAAGAACTGCGGAGGTGAGTGCGCCCGTTTCGTGGATAATAAATATCATCGACATCGCATCACAACATTCTAGGTCGCGCTCGCACAAGAAGCCTGTGGTAGCGCATACTTCAGGCTGTCATTCTGAAGCTTCTTATTCGAAGTGGTATTTCTATTATGATGACATCAAACAGGACGCCCGAACCAACTTCGCCAGCACCAGCGACGGACATGCTATACCCTTTGTGACGTTCTCATGCAGTCTATACATCTTTCACTGCCGATAACGACCTCCAAATGCTGCCATTGATGCCTGGACTGGCTTATCCAGCTGTTCCCATTCAAGCTTCCTCATATTGGGTGCGATTCCATCTTCTCATCCTTGACTGTGCGGTGGATGCATTATGATCTGTAAGGGCGATGGGGGCTGGGCTGTGGTATTTACATGTAATGAACTCTTCCATATCTGACTAGTTTCTCTGCAATGTCAATTAGCGGCTGCATTCTCTCCGGGAGATATGAGGGCCTGCGTCCTGATATCAACGCCTGCAGGAGACCACATGTGGTTTGAACAGTTAATATGTGCAATGCACTACAATAGCACGACACACGGTCAAGGCTGGTTCAATGTTAATAGCAACTGTTCATGCATTCGCTGGCGTCCAAAGCGAAACTACAACGAAGAGCAAGCAACGCAAAAGGTTGAGTACTAGAGTATCGGGCCATCCAGATACGCCAGGGGCTTGCGAGCACACGGCAAAAGTGGGAAATAGAAATGAGATTGACGCTCTAGCACAGGAACCTCGGTCAGTCACGGATAAGATACATACAAAACGAGCACTAATGCGTCCGCCATAGGCTCAGACACAACAGAAAATAATCAAGGATCCCCAAAAAACCCAAAAAAAAGCTTCAACGTTGCAACACCCATCCTCGACGTCTGCTGCCCCAATGACCGAGTGTCGTAATATCTAACTCGGCCTCCTGTTTCCCCTTGCCCAGCGCAGCCTCCCGCAGCCCTGGCGCGCCCAGTGCACCCGATTGTGACCTTCCTAATGATGGATATCATAAGCTATAGATAGTGATGTTTTCTCGAAGCAAGGGTATGAAGGGAGTCGCTCGTAAAGGTCTTCTCAGGTACATTCAAAACATCAGAAACCGGCGTGATCGCTCGGCCAAAGAATATCGCCAGCCTTCATAATTCGACGATCTGCGACATATCCTGAATCACATAAACATGAACATGAGACTCGATGCAAGGCACATTATTACGCTCACTAGGCGGTAGTGACTGGCGTACTACACGAAAACAAAATGAATATGACGAACTTGAAATAAAGGGACATTAAACACACCGAAAGCTGCTGAGAGTTCCCATCATCGCTACGACCATGGCGGTGTTCGCATGTGCACCGATCGTCGGTTTCAACTTCATTTCCCGATCCTTTCTGCAGATGTAGTGCGGGGTTATGCGGTTCGCCTCTAGTATTTGTCGTCGGCGTGCGTTTGCGAGTTATGCCATCGACCTTTTGCCTGTGAGGTGCTGGTCAGAGCGTCCCAGGACAGGAAAGTGCCGCCTACTGTATGTTGGAGAGTAGATCGTAATAAGAAGGCTTGTGATTGCCCTCTAAATAGGATAAGTTCTATATATCTGTTTCGCTAAATATGCCTCTCACCAAGGTACTCGATGAAGAACTAAGCCGCCATCAGTCAGATTGGAAATTCTTAGAATACCAAGCACTACTAGTACCTTCGACACAGTTCCACCCGTGGCGTTGTCATCATATGCTACCTCATTGTCCCTGCATGCAGACAAGGAAACCTTGAAGGAGTTAAGTTCATATTTTTCTGAAGACATCAGTAAGAGAGAGAACACGCACGACGTGGGCCTTGACTCTGTTCTCGGGGGGCGTCATAGGACAGTCAAATGTACATAGAGGCGGATCTGGTTCAGGAGAAAGCGCTCTGAGGAGGGCGGGAAAATACACGCCGTCCGTTGCCGATGATACATTCCTTGATTGAGAATCATCCTCTGACGAGAGCCGATCCTCGCAGCTATCCTTCAAGATGGCGGCATCGGGCTTCTTGCCTATGTAGCAAACATTTCAAGTGTGACGACCAGAGCAACAAAATACCCACCTGAAATAATCAACATCAACTTGGAAACACCATAAAATATAGCTCTCACCTTTTAACCCGTTGCAGTTGTAATGATCCAAATCTTTGATAATCGTATTAGTGCGAAAACGAACACGAACTATGGTCCTACGTACCCAGCACTGTGTGTGAGTGGCAACAATCACAAAGCGCCTGTTTAGAGGACAACATTGTCAGCACTAGCACTTGAGAAATCATGATACGAACGAAAAATTTGGCGCCTTGAGGCAATGGATCGACGAGGTGTTCTTTCAAAACCTTCGGATCGATCAGCACGATGAATCAGATAATAATCCAAGACATGGAGCTTACATTATCGATTATGCGCTTCCCCGTGTAGGTGAGGATAGCTATATCGAAGAAATTAACACAGGACAAAGGAACGAGACTTGGACACTACCTTCATCCAATTTGTCGGGTTCAGTGTTATGTCTACAAGGCACTTGATCGCCATGACCGCTGTCTGATGGATTATTAGCGCCAGAAAATATGAACACTTGCGTCACAGCAACGCAAGAGCTGGCTTACAATAGAAGAAAATCCGATCGTGTTGAGATGTAAGTTTGACGATATTGTCCATCTCACGCAGCTGCGCTCGACAATCAGATAACCTACAGAAAACATGCACTTTAGGCGCTCACCAGATTCGCTGTGTTAGGATATAAATTTTGTGGAACACTCTTATTGTGCATCATAATGACGATGTTTTCAAGTTGGTAGCCACGAGCTGCGGCAGTAAATGAAGTCAATGAAGTATTCAATCATAAAACACACGTACACTTCACAAGGAAGTCTCTCATCCTCGTCACATCTATGTACGCTTGAGAGATGGTGGCGAAACCTTTTACTTTCGCCACACCGATAAGGAGTGCCCTTTGAACGCCTTCAGGCTTAGAAGGAATGTCGCTAAACATTTATAGACTGATCACTGGTAAGCGAGGCCGAAGGCTGATATGCTCAATATGCAGAGTCAAACGTACCAGCTAAAATAGCAGATGACGGTCGGGCAAAATGATGTTAAGGGCCTGGACTGGTATTCAATGACCTTCGTCAGGTGAAGTCAAGTCCGTGATGAGGAGAAGGAAAGGAAGATACAATTTGGGCATGGCGGAGGACAAACTTAGATGTTATGTACTCGCCGTACGTAGTAGGGAATGTGTACTTGTAAGCAGTGCACAGCTATTTCAATATCAATAGCTGTAGAGCAGAGACATACCACATATGGCTATGTACCACGTCGTCATTTCGCGATTCTGTGGTCAAGATACAGTGATGGGATCTGCACAGAATCCAAACAGAATCGCGTAGTACAATAATTAAATAATTCTCACCGATCCAGAATTTCTTTTTTTTTCAGACAATAAATAATGCGGGGGGAAACCGATAAGGATTACATAATTATCAGTACAAAGTAGTCCAAAGAACTTGGACATGCCAGTTTATCGCAACGATCATTGATATACTGAATCCTGATTCAAGCATCGTACATCACGCAGCTCGTCGATTTTTGGACTCGACAATAATCTTGTTTTCCACCATGAACTGCTTTAACTCCATGCTGTGTCTCTGCTTTCAATGTTCATTTCAACGATGCGGCAACATGTTTTCTTGCCGTCAGCCAACTCACTCTCTCATTGCCAAACGATCTTCAGTAGCTTGGGTTTATCTTCTACACTGACTCGAAGTTTGTCGATGCCTCTTTGCGTGTGCACTGTGTTCCAAAGTTACAAGTACCATGTCAACTCATTTAATCTCTCAATCTCGACATACCACCCTTCCACACTGATTCAAGCACTCGTATCAAAAATCACTTCACCGACGCATACATGGGCCGATGCCAAGTTCTTTCTTCTTTCTCCCCAGATGACCTTTAAATTTCCATGGTCAGACAGGGGAGGTGTCGCCTCCGCGGGTGTCGTGAGTACGTTATCCGTCTTGAGACCATGCCACCGAGATTTCGTTCACTTATAGCAGACCTCCTTATTCAGTGGTTTCCCGGGTTCCCTTCTACACTCTCAAGAGCCACTGCTCTTCCCGCCCATCCTATTTTCGCTAACAATTTCACGCCCATGTTTGAAAAGCTGTAGTTGTACCTGGGCGGTCGCGTATACCGCTCATTCTAACGCTGACAAGTTGAGCTGCTGGAATTCTATTCTGTATAATGCATCTCTCACAGCCCAACCTGCAGAGCAAGATCCCTCGCCTGCTCACAGCTCCTACTTCTTTGGGCATATCGTTTGCGTTGGGGTGTTGGAAGATAGCGATGGTTTAAATTATCGCTAGACCTTAAACACACCAATGTGAACTTGTTGTCTTTCCTTGTCGCCATGCTGTTGCTCCTGTCCTTGCGTCTAAGGTCAGATGGGCGAGATTCTGTGATCCTCTGCTAACTTTGAACACTGACAAGGCAGTCTTGTTCGGTGGTCCTTGCTGGCATTATCCCGACGTTGGATACAGCCTGCTCAGGCATATACCGCTGTCATAACCCTGATCAGTATTTTGAGTGATGTTACTCTGCCTGCCGTCGCTGACGCTGATTGATTGCACACAAGTACGTCGTGCCACATTTTAAATTATTGCTTATATTAAATGTATCTAGGTGATGGTGCACGCCTCACGTTGTCGTTTTTGGTTGGTGAGGGATTTTCATGCGCAAATGCACTGGAAACCCAATCCGACTAGCCAGCGCTATGGAAGTGCATGCCACTCCACCGCTGGTCAGTTTTAAGTAAGTGCGTGCCGCATCTCATTATAAACGAACGCCATGAAATATATCCAGGTGATTTCGCACGCCTCAGCCTGTCGTTCTGGTGGTAGTGGGTTGGGGGACTCGACCTGACCCGTCGGTGCCAGTGGTGCACATGCACAATTTATGACCCGGACGCACAGTCTACCATCTACCTGCCAAGGTACCCGTCTTCGCTGGCCCCTTCTCTTTTTTGTACGCTGAAGCGCCTTTCAAACAGTTGTTGTGACTCCGCCTTCCGATGCATTGCCAATATGTAAGTAGTTCACTTAAACATAAAAATATCTGGGTAATGTGCATATCTGTCGTTCTGACGCTGGTGGGTTGAATCAACCTGTTGTTGGAATATACACAACAACTATGATTCAACTTGCCAGCGTTAGCGAAGCACACAATGGATGGTGTGGATGTCCTCTACTAATTCTTGGTTTACTCCAGGGCGTCAGACATTAGAATGATCGGAGAACTAACATCGACCACTATGACCTGTATCTCTGTTCTGTCTCACTGCGCTTGTTCATCTCTGACCTGCCTTTCTGTGCAGAATGATCTAGCCCATCGAGGGAAAAGCAAAGGTAATCGATATTACTGTCGGGGAGCCTGATTATAGAGGACAAAGTGTACCCAGCCTCATTCGAACTTCCAGCGCGAATGAACGAATGATCCGAACGGGCTGCAGCAGGCAATGCACTCTTAGGTGAGTCAAGTACCTACAAAAATTGCTATATGGGCTACTCATTGTGGCTCACGTTTCATTCAGCCTCAACCACTACCAACCACCAGATTGTCTGCCACCCCGCCCGCCCCCTTCGCTACTCGCCTACGCAATATATCAACCTGGTGGCTTGTTCGTTCAGGTCATACACTGCCACCTATCGTTGATGTCCCTTTCACGCCAGGAAAATTGGTGTGTTTGATTCATTTTTACTACTGTCACGTCTCATGCATTGAATCACTGCGCAACGCTGCAGCAGGTGCTCCCCGCGCTGACGATGAATATATCCCGTGATGAAGGCTACGTTCCCCCTTCACTTAATACTGGGATGCATGGAAGCGACCGGTATTGTTTCTGTCTAGACATCCCCGCGTAGTGTAGATTACCTGTCACTCCTCGCATTCAGTGTTCTATGAACGTGGATATGTTGTTCGTATATCTAGATCTCGTTTCATCGTTGATAATTTGATCCCGGAATCCAGGACATGAACGAGACAGATCCGACATATCCTCAGCAAGTTGATGCCCCCCGTCATTTTGTAGCAAGAACTCAAGACTAATTTTTTTCTGTGGAAAACGAACCAGCAGCTACATTGTTTCTTCTCTAGCAGTTTCGAATGAACGGCGCATCCGCCCATGCGGTATACCTTCGCTAAACTCAGATGATACTATTGCTATGTAATGAATCGAGTGCATCAGACATCAACATTCCATTCCATATCAACGTGTACAAGTTCTCACAATGATGTCATTGATAGAACAGCAAGAAGTAATACATCGTGGTAAGGGACTACGATTGAATTTGAGGTACCGGGGAACGCCCTTGAAAGCTGATCGATGATCCACAGGTAACTCGCAAAGTACAAGTGGCTACTTCCATCTTCAACATTAATCTGCGTTCCTGTAAATGGTAGTTTTGGACAAGAAAAAGCAACTGAGAGTAGCTCATTACCCTGTGCAATAGGAAAATCGAGAATAGGCCATCATGCATGATCCGCATGAAGAGACCACGAGGTTGATAGGTGGTGTGACAGTAGTGGGAGCAGCAGACGACCGGAAACCAGGCGGTGGTGGCGCAGATTGAGACTGAGAACGTAAGTGAAAATGAGGTCACGGCATTCAACGCCGCATCCTCCCATGAATACATATATGAATGCACCCGATTAATTCCATGCGTCGAACGAGGGAAAATTGGAGGTAGGCGCGACGTAGCGGGGAACCTGAAAGAATTGGTCAATTCTGCGCAGAAGCACGCGCGTTTGACAACGCAGTGGCCTTGGAGAGCGGGTCTCAGGTGACGGTCATTACATGATAATTTTCGTATCTCTTGACTTTCGAATTCTGGGGATGGGTGTTATGACACGCGTGTCATTGATAGAACTGCGAGAAGTAATGCATCAGATGTATTGACCTTACGAGACACGGCAAGAGATTACAATTAAAATTGAACACCCAGGGAACGCCCTTGAAGGTGATCTAGATACAGGTACCTCAAAAAGAACAAACAGCTGCTTCCATGTTCGGCCTTAATCTGTGCTTCTGTAGATTGTGATTGTGGACAAGAAAAAGTAACTAAGCGTAGCTCTTTACCCTGTGCAAGAGTAACATCGATAATGGGCCATAACGAACGAGCCGGACGAAGAGGCCGCCAAGTTAATAGGTAGTGTGACAGTAGTGGGAGCAGCCGATGACCGGAAAACAGGTGGTAGTGGGGCAGATTGGGACTGAAAATTGTGAGTTGAAATGACGTCACGGCGGTCAACGCTTGCGTCTTCACATGAATGCGTATATGAAAGCACCCGAGTTATGGCCTGCGGGGCGAATTGGAGGTAGGCGCGATATAGTGGGGACCTGAAAATATTGGTCAAATCTGCGCAGAGGCACACGCGTTTGACACCTGTGTTGTGAAATGAGCCTTTGAATAAGGGAAAATACACGTACCCTTATAGCACCACCCATCAGAAGTCCAACTCTACCTCCACGGCTCTCTCCGCAGCAGCAGCCTCACAGGGCGTTATCGTCGTCGTCATCGTTGGGGTGCGGCAAGATGTGTCCAGGTTTGAGATGTCATGAGGCGTGACCTATGGCACGTATAATGGAGTTGTGGTGGCGGTGTGGTGAATGCGCGTCGGGAGGTTGATGTGGGTCGGCGAGGGCATCTGCGTGTTACTAGTACTGATGGAAATCGCGAAACGAACATCGAGGGAAGGGACCGATACCGATATATACATGAGCTGGAAGCTAAGTAAAAGAAAAGAGTTCAACACTGTGTACCAAATAATGTCAAACACAGGCGAAAGCCTGCACGGAAGTTCGGGTGTTTGAGGAGAAGTTACGATCTTTCAGTCTGAATCGTTACGCACCGATTTTACCACCTCATCGCTTCGCTGTTGCTACTAGCTGGCCATGGGTGATCATGCCCTGACACCTCGCAGTGCCGGGAGGTACAGCTGCACGTGCAACTTCTCATGGTACGAAGTACCAGACCTCTTAGGTCACAGTACTTGTTTGGTCCTTTCGACGGTCCTTGGGCTTGGGTCCGGCCCACGACAGAAAATCGTGTCTCATACCCGCGGAATTCCCCTTTGTCCTTAACTTGAATTCCTTGCTCCATCCTTAGACTTCGTCCTTGCAAGTCTGACTGGATCTTGGGTTGCGAGACGTGGACAAGGCCGTATTGCTTGTATTGTCCGCAAGGCTGATCAGTAAGTTGGTTTTTTCTTGTGGGAGGGGAAGGGCGCAGGCGCTGATGCCGATGCCGATGCATTAGTTAGGTGGTTGAAAAAGCGAGCAATGGGACCGCCCTATGTGCCTGAGCGCTGCACCTAACGTGGAAGCATTCGTGAGTATTTTGATTTCAAGTCCATCAGTCGGTGCCCTTTTGGACGGAGAGAAATGCAGTCGGTCGTCTTGTCCGCGCTCTTTTGGTGACCTGGTGCGCGTTGAAAACCCCTTTGATGGCGTTTTGAGGGTGCGAGAACATGCACTAAAGTGCACATCATTCTTCATGCATCCAGAAATTGCGTGCACTGCAAAGTGCGTCACACGCGGGAAAGAAACATGCCAACTTGTTTGGGCCCTTTATACTGTGCTGGTTCTTTTTTTACTTGAATATAGACGCTTTGATCCATCGTAGTAATGCCCAAGCCTACGGCGGGCAGACACCTATACAAATTTCTTCCAAGTCAAATCAAATGTCGAGGACCAGCACTCACAAAATTCCCGCAGGCGCGTGGCGACCTTATACATCTACGAGGCAATTCATGAGACTGGGTTAGTTGTCGCGCTTGACTGGATGGTGCGTCTCTCACCTTGACCTTTGATCGCATGGTCCCTTGACGTGATCTGACATGTTTCACTACACGCAGCACGTTTATGGACGCGGAGAGCAGGTGCCAAACTGTCATGTGAGGTGCTGATTTAAAAGGCCCATGACCAACTGTTCTGTGATAGAGAAGAGAGGAGTTCTTAATGCGCGGAGATCTCATTCGATGTCCGTGTGGACCTGGCAGCCTGGAGACGCAGTGTGACTTGAGCGCGGTGGACAGATGCGTTAGTGGTTGGAGAAACATATTTTTCGTTAGTGTCAATAAGCATGCGATCTCTTGTCCAATGCATTTATGTTGATGAGCTTTGTCAATCAGATTTTGAGTGTGTAATTTTGGATGGCAACTGTCGGCGACATCTTGAGAAAACGACCGACAGGTTCAGATGCACGAAGAACATACCCAGCCAAGGGAAAGTAATCCAAAATCGAGATCCAGCGCTTCACGTTTAATGTGTGATCATAAACGACTTACTACACTCTTCTCGACAATCCACCTGATCGAAGATCTCCCAGCCAGGTCGGGGAATATCTGGGTGGCCTGTGTCGTAAGATTGTCCGTTGACAAAATGTGCACATGTGAAAGGTCTGTGGATGTATTTCTTTGCATAAAATCGAGCTGTACTCACTATGCCGCCTAGTCTGTGCAAAGGTGTGGACCACAACAAGCAAAAGGAAGAAACGCATCCAAGACCCGACGTGCCGTAACTTAAGTCAAATGTTTGATCTGCTTGTTGCAGGTGTCCCACCAGTTTAAATACTGCCACTCGTGTTCCTTTCCACCTCTTCCACATCCATCGTATTTTGCCTTCCACATCTACCGTCTAACTTGTGCATCACGAATTATTCTTGTACACTTATTTCACCTGTTGTTATTTATATTTTACTGCTACGAGCTAGGGCATCGCGCTGTTGACAATTCATCTCGAGCATTCTTAGTCATTGAATATGGACCAACACGCGAATCAAATTGATCCAAGATCGATCGCAGGCCTGTACTACCCCCAGCTTCCGCCCCACCCTCATCTCCAGCTTCCACCCCACCCTCATCCTCAGCTTCCACCCCACCCTCTACTCCAGCCCGCATGGACGAGACTTTACCATCCTGTAATGTATCAAAACATCCACCAGCACATGGCACCTCTGCTGGCTCCCACAGCCTACGGAATTGCAATATATCCCCCTCCATTCCCAACCAATTTCGGCCACTCCTTGCCTCCTCCCCGACCTTATGACGGGTACATTCCAGGCCCCCAGGCTATGGGTGTAGCGCCGTCTTCCTCGTCTGCGCCCTCCACGGTACAATCCCAGCTGCAGGTTCACGACCAGCAGTTGGAGCAAGGACCTCTAGAAGATATTATAGTAGGCACAGATGAGGGGAACTCGGTGCAGCAGGCGCAGCACCGCCGCGTTTTTCACTATAAATATCGCGATTTTGTGAGTCTAATTTATTTCTTTGGTTCTCGCTATCATGCTGAAGGTGGCTTCATCAGGAACGCGTCGATCGCAGCGGCGAAGTCGTGTATAAATGCCCGCTCTTGCACTGCCAGATGGAAATACTGGGAGCTAGCATACGGAAACATCTGACATCCAACAAGCACCTGAACCGGCGCGGTCGGTTTCCATGTCCATACTGTGACAAGAAGTGAGTAGTACTCTACTTTAAAATATGTCTTTGAGACTGATGTGTTGACTCTCACTAGGTTAAGTCGCGAGGGTTCTGTGAAGCGTCATTTAGAGTATTGTGCTGAGGCCCTAGCACACGCCAACACGATCACTCAAGGACCTGGCGCCGCACCTGCCACCGTGGTTCAGCCCACCGTCGCTTCAACCCCATCAGCGGCGCCCGTCACCGTCGACGAAGATGAAAATACTGTCTCAAGCAAATCATCGGAAGATGATTACAACACTTTGGAGTCGGACGCGGTTCCAGGGCATCTCGATGACACCGAGGATTCGGTTTCGGGGGACAAGTTAATGGAATTTTTTTTACATAATTTGGATTGGGATTTCACATCACATCTGTGACGATTTCTTAATTCTAGTACAAATTATATACAGCTAGGACAATGCCTCGATATTATACCCTTGTACTAGACATATTGAGGGAGAACGGTTGCAATTAGGCGTTGGCACCTGTACGTACCAATTTACCAAATAACAACAAATAGCACAGATCTCCTCGTTGTCGAGTCAATGTTCATTCAACAACTCCCCTTCTCCCCGGTTCTGCACTCTCAAGAGCCACTCCTCTGCCCGCCGATCCTATTTCCAATTGCTAACAAGTTAACGCCTATGTTTCAAAAACTGGGCGTGTACCTGGGCGATCGCGTATCCTGCTCTTTCTGAGGCTGCAAGTTGGTTACTGAACGTGTATTCCGTATCATGCATCCCTCACAGCCCGACTCACAGAGCAAGATCCATCGCCTCAATTTTCCTACTCGCAGCTCCTACTTTACTGAGCATATTGTTTGCATTTCGGGTGTTTGAAGATAGCGATGGTTTAAATCATTGCTGGATTTGAAACACACTTATGCACGCTTTACTCGTCACTATGCGGTTGCGTTGATCCTTACGTTCTAAGGTCAGATGGGACAGATTCTGCAATCCTCTGCTAACCTTGAGCACTGTCAGGGCGTTCTTATTTGACGGTCCTTGTTGACAGTATCATGACTTTGAATACAGCATGCTGAGGCATATACCGCTGTTATGACCCTGATTTCCACGATGCTACTCCGCCTGCGCCCACCAATACTGATCGGTTGCTTACAAGTATGTCGTCCTACACTAACCATCAACGCTTACATTAAATGTATCTAGGTGATCGTGCACGCCTCAAGCTGTCGTTTGTGCGTTCGTGAGGGATTCTTATGCACAGGTGTGCTGGAACACCAAACCAACTATCCAGCGCTAGCGAAGCGCATGCCACTCCACTTCTGGTCAGTTGCAAGTAAGTGTGTGTCGCATCTCGTCCTACATGAATACCATTAACTATATCCAGGTGATCTCGTACGCCTCGACCTGTCGTTCTGGCGCTAGTGAATTGGGGGACTCGACCTGATTTGTCGGCGTCAGTGGTGCACAGGCACAATTTGTCAGGGCGTTCTTTGCTCGTTCCCCTTCTCTTTTCAAGTACCTCTCAAACAGTTGTTGTGACTCCGCCTTCCGATGCTGATGTATTGCCAGTAAGTAGCTGACATAAAATGTATTTAGGTGATGTGCATCACTGTCGCTCTGACGCTGGTGGGTCGAGTCTACTTGTTGTTGGGGTACACACAACAAATATGATTCAACTTTCCAGCGTTAGCGAAGCACACAGTGGACGCTGTGGACGTCCTCTCCTCTCAAATAATTCTTGGTTGACTCCAGGGCGTCAATACATTAGAATCCTCGGGGAACTAACATTCACCATCATGGCCTGTATTTCTGTTTCGTATCACTGCTCTTGCCCATGTCTGACTCGCCTTTCTGTGCAGAACTATCTAGCATCAAGGGTAAAGAAAATAAAATCAATATTAAATGTCGAGGAGGCTAATTATAACCAACGAAGTGTATTGAACGTCATCCGAACTTCCAGCGCAAATACGAATGATCATAATCGGCTGCAGCAGGCAACGCACTCTTGGGTGAGTCGATTATCTACAAAGACCAATATCATTATCAACGTTGGGACTACTCACAAATCACAACCCGCTGCTGCTTCGAACGCAGCAAATAATTCAGATATCGTTCATCGACGGACGCACAGAGAAACAGAGGGCATCTCAGACTGTTGTGCCTTCCATCGTGTATGCTGGCTGGTGTACCCCTCGACCTGCCTGCAAAAGCAATACTGATCTTTCCACGAGTTAGCTGTGTCCTTGCGAAAAAGATAGCACAGCTATCTTTCTAGACCTACCCCTGGCGTGTTGAGTGCAGAGCAAGTCTTCTCTGGTGAGTCGCGCAATCCATTATCTCCACCTGGCTCGTATTCAGCAGGTTTCCTTTCTCTATCTTTGCATGCTCAGGTACCACTCTCGTAGCATTAAGGAGTTGACACGATCTCATAGCATCGAGCAGTCGATGCGACTTCGCCATCTGATGCTGAATTTGCTTTCCTGATTAGTACGTGGCTCACATGAAATACATTGGAGTGGTCGTGCACATTTAGATCTGTCATTCTGACGTCGGTGGCCTGTTGTCCCAGCATTAGTGAAGTGCATGCTACATGACGTCGACATCGACGCCGTCTAAAATAACCCTCAGTTGAATCCAGGGTAACTCCACGGCGTCAGAAGTGGCACAGGTGGAGAATTATCGCAGTCGATCACAATTAGCATGTGCAGCGTTTGTGTCTTTTTACCGTGCTTGCTTGTCTCTGACTTGTTGTCCTGTGTAGAACGAATATGCCGACTCGATTCTGACTACGTCCACATATCAACGACGAGATTGTGTAGTCAATAGATCTGTAAATTTACAACAAATAGTCGAGACTGATTCTACGAGGCGAGTACCAAGCTAATGATGTCATACTGCAGTGAGCGTTCTGCACTGAGTTGGGTCAGGTCAAAAGTCGTACACCAGGTTTCACAGCGGTGGCCTTGGAGACCGGGTCTCAGGTGACGGTCATTAGATGATTATTTTCGCAACGCTTGACATTCGAATTCTGGGGATAAGCGCTTCATTTTTGAATTGCAGCATTAGAGAGACATTCAACGATCGGAACATTGAAGATCTCGGAGTGATCAGGGCATGATCAAAGAAAAAACGGACGATGCTGAAAGGTGATGTGGGTTCATGGGGCGGTGGGAAAGAGAGAAACCTTTGGTTGGACGTGCGCCAAAAACGATGGAGGGTATGGGACGAGACGATGTGATCCCCGCGCTGTCCCCACACAACACTGCAATGATGACGAGTGAACAACGAGGAAAGATGAAATGCTACAGCATATGAAACATTTTTCGGGTCATCTGGACGCGCCAGAGTCCCACAAGCACACAGCAACACTGGCGTGTGGGAAATAAACAAGAAATTGACGCTCTAGTTTCTGGACTCACAGCCATGAGCGAAGTTCCTGTGCAGATATAAGAAATAGCACGTCTTGCTGTGCTCACGTTGCAGAATTCTTCCCTCTCTCATCCTCTTGGTAACTCTCATCTGAGCTTCCAGCGTAGATCAACTGACGATCAGATCTGTTAGAGGCACACTGCTCTCGCAAGTGTTCCAGCGGGAATCTTCAAAACGACCAACATCAGACCTACAGCACACGAAGAGAGCGCACCGTACATTCAAACGCATCCAGAGAGTACCTCTCTGATTTGACTAGTTGACAGCTTCTCTCGCGAAGACGCAGACATGGCTTCCACATCGACGGAGGCAGCCGCCATGAAATCGATTCTGAAACCAAAAATGACTTTGAAGGGTCATGGACGGCGGATTCAATCCATATCCTACTTTCCTGATGGCCAGCGAATGATCAGCGGATCTGATGACGGGACTACTCGGCAATGGGATCTGAAGGCGGGTAAGGAGCTTGAGGAAGCTCGGGGTGTTTGCGAGGAGGTATGGGCAGTGGCGGTATCAAGGGATAGTCGATGGGTTGTTACTGCTGGTGGAGATGGGGAGCTGAAAGTCTGTGAGGTTGAGACGGGCACTGTGAAAGAATTCGAAGGCCACTCACAAGAGATCACCTGCATTGATATATCCGCGGACAGTAAGTTGCTGGCGAGTGGGTCAGCTGATTCTACAGCGCGGATATGGAACATGGAGACCGGCGAACTCGTGGCCGGTCCATTCGACAGCGTTGATTGGGTGGGCGCAATTCGACTCTCGACGGATTCGAAGAAGCTCGCAATAAACACAGTTTCCGGGACGTGCCTTGAGGTCTGGGATATCCAACAACAGACATTTGGATGCGAGCATAGGGAAAGAAAGTGATGGGAGTGACACGTATGCGCCAATTTTATGGACAAACAAAAACAAAAAAATCTTGGCCGTATTCAACTTCACGCCAGAAGATCACGAAGCCAAGACAATTTACGAGTTTGACGCATCGACGTTGGAGATTCTCGGAACTCCCTTTGAAGGGCACACCGGGCTTGTCACAGGTCTAGCACTTTCATTCGATAACACTCTCCTCGCTAGCTCTTCTTGGGACGACACCATCAAACTCTGGGCCTTCGAGTCCCGCCAACTCCTCGCTTCCTTCAACGATCAGAATCTTTTCACCCTTGTCCTCTCACCCGACTCGCGCAAAATAGCTTACACGACTTACGATAAGAACAACCATGGGCACAAGATTTGCATATGCGATATTCCACCCGATGTGCTTGCTCAGGCCCGTGTACGCATTCCCCGAAAACACCTGTTAGTGTCCTAATATTCCATTATAGACCAGTGCACGCAAAAAGTTGACCCTCAATGATCTACTAAATGCATGTGCCTCATTCTTTTACTCATTACACCACTCATCCATCGTTATCATCACAGCCTGATGCAACTCGTCGTCCTCCTGCAGTGCGCCGCAGCCCGCCAATACCCATCACACCTATGGTGCAGAAGCCTCGTGAACTCCTTCTCTCCCCTTCCCGCACCGATACAGTTCTCCCAGTTCGTAACGATGAGTCTGGTGGTTCCCCCATTGAAGCGATGCTCCCAAATCTCACGGCATACATCACCAAGGACGACGAATATCCTGTTGCTCATGGCGGGTTCGGAGAGATCTGGAAATGCACCTATTCTATGGATAGGAGATTGATCAAAGTTCGTTGGCAGAAATCTGTTTCTCCGTCAGTCCAAAATTGACAATTGCGCAGGTTGCAGTGAAATCATTGCGTGTGAACACTGCCGATCAACTTGGTCCAGCGAAGACGAAGAAGATCAAGGTAAGAGTCTTGCCGAAAAATTCCATTTAATGTCACTTACATCAGAGGTCGCCACTTCCCAGAGGATAACGCGCGAACTCAGAATATGCGCCATCCTCAAGCACAAAAACATTCTCCCCATTTATGGTTATACTTACGGCTTCGGCCCATTCATAGCGCTGGTCAGTCCTTGGGCGGAGAATGGAAACCTGTCGTCCTATTTGGAACGTGAGTTTGCAAATCTTACTCTCGTTAGACGATTTCAGATTGTAAGCGGCCCTCGTATTTCGTGGAGACTACAAACTGATGGAAATCTCAGCTCAGGGATATTATAGCTGGTCTCCAATATCGTACGTGCTAGTTGGTTTGATGCTGGACCAGGGGTCATAACCATTCCCCGTAGTTCACGCTAACAGCGTCATCCATGGCGACTTCACTGGTGTAAGTTCGAACATTCTCGTTGGTTTCTGCTTGATTGAGATGTGATCTCCAGCCTAATGTGCTCATCCATGGCGATGGCACTGCGTGTGTTGCTGACTTCGGCCTCTCCTTGATGTATTCGGAGATTATAAGCGCCTCCCAGGCTTCCTGGACATCCACACTCAAGGGAAACATGCGATGGATGGCTCCTGAGCTACTTGTACCAGAGCGGGAGGATGGATCTCTGACTCGTCCGAGTGAACAGAGCGATATTTATTCATTTGGTGGTATCATCTTACAGGTACGTTTTGTAATTGCGATTGTGCAGTAATATCATTAACTCCCGTTAGGTTCTCACCAACAAGATTCCCTATTATTACCTGCCGAATGATGCAGCTATTGTCCTATGCATAGCCAGGTCGGAAAAGCCTTCCCGACTTCGTTATCCTGTGCTCCTGGAGAAGTATTGGCAGTTTATTGAGCAATGCTGGTCTACCGATCCGCGAGACCGTCCATCGACAGAGGCAGCTGAGGGAGTAATCAGGAATGAATATTATGCGCTATCCAGATCTCCTTGATTATGATTCTTGAACTGCTTTTCATACAACCATGTGTTTACGGTACAACCAATTGGATAGCTAGCTCGATATGCTACTCAGGTTTAGCAAATGCGCCTCCCCGCCATTTTGTGGTAAGAGCTCGAGACTAAACGTTTCTTGGGAAAACGAACCAGCAGCTACATTCCTTCTTCTCTGGCAGATTCGAATCAACTGTCCATCCGCCCATGCGGTTTGCGATATGATGAATCGAGCGGATCAGGCCCAAATTGACGTGTATAATTTTTTTCTACGCATGTCATTGATAGAAAAGCGAGAAATGATACATCGGGTGTAGTGACCATACGAGATACGACAGGGGATTACGATTGAATTTGAACTACCGGGGAACGCCCTTGAAGCTGATCGATGATCTACAGGTAACTCACAATGTACAAGCAGCTGCTTCCATCTTTAGCATTAATCTGTGCTCGTGTAGATGGTGGTTGTGGAAGAGAAAAAGCAACTTAACGTAGCTCTTTATCCTGTGCAAGAGGAACATCGATAATGGGCCGCGACACATGACCCGGACGAAGAGGCCACCGGGTTGTAGGTTGTGTGACAGTAGTGGGAGCAGCAGACGACCGAAAACAAGGCGGTTGTGGGGCAGAATGAGACTAAAAATTGTAAGTTGAAATGAGGTTACGGCGGCCAACGCCCGAATCCTCGCATGAATACATGTATGAACGCACCTCAGGTATGGCCTGTGCCGAACGAGAGTGATTTGGATGTAGACCCGACGTAGTGGGTAACTGAAAGAATTGGTTAAATCTACGCAGAAGCACACGTTTTTGACAACCGTTGTTAAATAAGTTAGCCTTTCAATTGCAAGCACAAGGAAACACTCACCTATGTACGTACCCTTATAGCACCACCCATCAGAAAGACCCATATCCACCGTCCCCTCCAACTCGACTCCGCTCTTGACTTGCCACACTCCAGGTACGCAGTTCTTGTCTGGTGAAAGGCTCGGTGTTGCGCGCTCTCGAGTAACAAGAATGTCTTCGTTGTGTCGTAAATGCCGTATATGGTGAGGAAAGCGATGCAGAATTTGAGTAGAAGTCTTCTGGGTGTGGATGGCTGACGTTGTGAAGGTATCGGTCTTGCAAAGTGGTGTGGGCGTGGGTTCGGGTGTGCATGCCTGTGAGGTGGGATTTCGGACAGTCGACTTGGGCGAGGAATCGTCGATGGCAACATATCGTAGCGCATGAGATTAATTTACTGTCGTGTATGGTTGGATCTGGGATTAGTTCTCGAGACTTAAAAGAATGAAATAGATACTCACTGCATGCTTTCCCGCGTGAAACCTACCCAAACATACCCCCAATCCGAGGGCGCTCCCATCGTCATGTGGAATGCGACAAAACGTGTCAGTGTCTTAAAATGTAAATCCTTATGACAACAGTCGATCAGTTTGGTGTAGAAAACATTCCTAGATAATGTGAATCAACAAAACAAGAAAGAACGAACATTATAAACGATATATTGAGACAGACTATGTCTGTTTGATGTGGGACGGAGGGTACGAGGTTGTAGAGGCCGTTGAGCCAGAGAAACCTCGGGCTCAGAATTGGTGGTCGAAGAATTGGGCAGTAGAGTGGGAGAGGGTGCTGCTGGCGAGTCGTTGTGGGAGATTGAGAGAGAAGGGTTGGGCGTTTGGGTAGAGAATCGGGCTTGCGATCGTTAAGAGGAACATTTGATCTAAATCATTCTGTTGGTCCAAGTTTGATGTAGAAAACCATGTAGATGGTGGAAATCGGGAAACACATGCACATGTACATGGGAAGGACAGTAGAAACTATATTCAAATTATGATCTGCAGGCTTTGATCAAGATCAACGTTCAAATGCAACATGCACGCAGGCGCCTGCGTACCAAACAACGACAAATACAGTTCTGTCTCTGCTTGTTTCAACTTTCTACTATCGAACGGTTAAATTTACTCGAAAACTGCAGCTTCGAAACGAATCCTCGAGTAGAGGCACGTCAACACCGACAAAAACATGGCTTGTCAGCGTCACCGTACAACCATCCACGGTAACTTGGACAATTGAATCATTCAAAACGAGTACATGTCCATCCGCCTCTTTTCCATACTTCAACATTGCAGTTCTCCCGTCCATCTCTTATATTTTCAATCTCACCTACCATTCCTTATGTACACTTGTTCAAGGATCATGAAAATTCGACAAGGTCCGCACTTCCCTTGCTCACAGAATACCCGGCTCGGCGCTCGCGCTTTTATTTAGTCTTTAAGAGCACCTCTTTCACATTGCAGGGTTGAGTGTCAGGTCTTCTCCTCTCCGTTGTTCTCCCCGTACTTATAACTTGTGAACTTTGAAACATGGTCCAAGATCAGACGCGCGAGATAACATTGACTTGTTGATGGAGGTACTTGTCCCTCTGGTAACCACGGCGTTCCTGTTCAGTTGTTTCTCTTTTACTCTTGTGGTGCTCAAGACTTACTTCGTATCGCAGACTTCATTCGCCGACACATATTTCGCTAATAAGTCCACGTTTCGTTTTGAATAGCTGTTGCGCAATACGTGTCTGGGTGCTCGCGTACCCAGCTCATTCTGAACGTGGTGAGTTGCTGCAGGTAGCGTGTCTCAGCGATATACAATGATCGCACTCAACTCGCCAGTGCTGTGGCTTTGCATGCGACACGGACGCCCAATCCGATTACATTGACGTGTAACTCACGCTTCTCGTTTTTATCCAGGTGTTCTACCGCAATGATGTTTTAAATCATTGCTGGACCTTGAACGCATATGCAAACTTTGTGTCCTTTCTAGCCGTTATGCTGTTGCCAGTGTCCCAGAAGGTTATGAACCATCATCGCGTTCAAGGTCGGATGGGTGAGATTCTGTGATTCTATGCTTTCTCTCTCTTTGCACGCTCAGGTGCCACTCTCGTAGCATTGAGGAGTTGGCACGATCTCATAGCATCGAGCAGTCGATGCGACTTCGCCATCTGATGCTGAATTTGCGTTGCTGATTAGTAATTCGCATCGCCTTCGACTTTCGAATTTTAGATTTGGGCGCTTCATGTTGCGTGATCAGGGTGTGCTCAAAGAAAAATGGACGATGCTGAAAGGTGATGTGCGTTAGCGATGCGTCGGGAAAGCGGGAAAACCTTGGATGAACGTGCGCCAAAAACGGCCGAGGGTATGGGACGAGACGATGTGATCTCCGCGCTATCCCCACACGACACTGCAATGATGACGAGCAAACAACGAGGAAAGATGAAATGCTACAGCATATGAAACATTTTTGGGGGCATCTGGACTCGCCAGAGTCCCACAAGCACACAGCAACCCTGGCGGCGTGCGGGAAATAAACGAGATTGACGCTCTAGTTTTTGGACTCAGCCATGAGCGAAGTTCCTGTGCGGATTTAAGAAATAGCACGTCTTGCTGTGCTCAGGTTGTAGAATTCTTCCCTCTCTCATCCTCTTGGTAACTTTCATCTGAACTTGCAGCGTAGCTGAACTAACAATCAGATCTACTAGAGGCACAGTGCTCTCGTAAGCGTTCCAGCGGGAATCTTCAAACCGACCAACATCAGACCTACAGCACACGAGGAGAGCTCACCGCGCCTTCAGAGAATACCTCCCCCATACTTGACTACTCAAAGATTTCGCTCGCAGATACGCAGCCATGGCTTCTACATCGACGAAGGCAGCTGCCACAAAATCAATTCTGAACCCGGTAATGACTTTGAAGAGTCATGAACAGGACTTCCGCATTAGATCCATATCCTACTTTCCTGACGGCCAGCGAATGGTCAGCACATGTAGTGATCAGACCGTTCGGCAATGGGATCTGAAGGCGGGTAAGGAGATTGAGGAAGCCAGGCGTGTTTGCGAGAAGAACGAATATGCAGTGGCGGTATCAAGGAATGGTCGATGGTTTGTTACGGCTGGTGGAGATGATAAAACCGTGGAGCTGAAAGCCTGTGAAGTTGAGACCGGGATTGTAAAAGAATTCGAAGGCCACTCAGCGCAGATCAGCTGCATTGATATATCCGCGGACAGCACGTTGCTGGCGAGTGGGTCAGATGATAAAACAACGCGGATATGGAACATGGAGACCGGCAAACTCGTGGCCGGTCCATTCGAGAGTGTTAATGAGGTGGGCGCAGTTGGATTCTCGAGGGATTCGAAGAAGTTCGCAGCAAACTCATATACCGCGACGTACCTTGAGGTCTGGGATATCCAAAAACAGAAATTGGATGCGAGCACTGAATGCAACGGGAAACGAGCTGGAGCAATCACGTATGCGCCAATTGTCTGGACAAATAAAAACAAAACCATCTTGGCCGCATTCTCCGAACCCAAAGATTTCGAAACCAAGACAATTTTCGAGTTTGACGCATCAACGTTGGAGACTGTCGGAACTCCCTTCCAACACACTGACCTTGTCACTGATCTAGCACTTTCATCCGACAACACTCTCCTCGCCAGCTCTTCTTGGGATCACACCATCAATCTCTGGGCCTTCGAGTCCCGCGAGCTCCTCGCTTCCTTCGACGTTCAAAATCCTGGCGCCCTTGTCCTCTCACCCGACTCGCGCCAACTAGCTTACAGCAGTCACGATAACTCGTACTTGGAGAATGACGATGAGCCTAATGTACAAGTATACATATGCGATATTCCACCCGATGTGCTTGCTCAGGCCCGTGTACGCATTCCCCGAAAACATCTGCTGGTGTGCTAATATTCCCTTACAGACCAGCGCGCGCAAAAAGTCAACCCTCAATGATCATCTAAATGTACGTGCCTCATTCTTTTACTCATTACACCACTCATACATCGTTATCATTGCAGTCTGACGCAACCCGTCGTGCTCCTTCAGTGCGCCGTAGACCACCGATACCCGTCACACCTATGGTGCAGAGGCTTCCGCCTACAATGAACCCCCAACAACCTATTTCCCTTCGCCTCCGCCAACTTTTTCGCTTCTCTCCTCGCAAGAATGCAGCTGTCCAACTTCATAACCCTCTAGATGTAGGTCCTGTATCTCGGTCCTTTCACGTTTCACTCAATGATGGCAACGCAGGTCCCTGCTACATTACCCCTACCATCCTCTCTGGGACAGGCCGCAACTCGGTTTGAACATGTCAGTGTTCAAATTTAGCAAACTCACAACGCATGACTGAATGCGATTCTAGTTCGAAATAAGTTCTCCACCTCCCCAGAACCGTCCAGTCACGCAATCACTGCGACAGCACCTTCCTTTCCTCGTGCCAAGACACAGCCATGTGCCACCAGTCGTTGAAGTCGCACCAGGGCGGAAGTTCACTGTAACTTGCATCTTCTTTGCTGTCATTTCCCCTTCGCTGATTTGTACCCTATAGCGGCTGGCTGCTGCCAATCTACCAGAATACAGAAAAGTAGATGACACCCGACATCCACCTCAGGCTGGAGTGCCGCAGGATATCGACTCATCTGACAACGATTCACTCCCAGACGTGCACTGGTGCAAGGCGTTCCTGTGCTACTATTCGTGCTGGTCTCATGGCAGGCTGAGGATGCCTCCTCGATGGCGCTTGGAGCGCGTTCACATACCTCGCCAGGACGGCACGACAAATGGCAGCGGTAGTGGTACTCGTGGTAGCGGTTAATTTTGCGTGCATTTATCCACTACTGTATCCTTCATACTAACTGACGATTTCATACTTATATTCAATTGTACGCCATCTGCGATATTGCGTGCTGTCTGCCAAATCCCATCACAACATGACTTGAATGATTTGGATTATCATCCTCCCGTGCGCTCATCCTAGCTCACATTATCCCCCGCAGAATGGTGGTCTGGTCAAGAGTAAAATGACTTCGTTCTACACTATCCCTTTCACGAATTACTTGGACGTCTTCTGCCCTGCCCTGATTCAATCATGCGTGCTTCCCATCACACGCTAGTCTCGCAGGGTTCGTTTTGACTTACTACCGCTTCTGCGTGTGACTCTAGTGCAATGGCCAAGGACTCCGTCGTGAAGATTGGTCACTGTATTGAAGCTCAGTGTATTCTCTTTCGCCTTTAGTGCATCGCATTCTTCGCCGTGGTCCTCTCCTCTGCAAAATAATCTGTATTCGCTATATTGAGGTCGTCATAAATGTACATGGGCAAGTCTAGGCATAGTATGAGCAGGAGACGCGACGTGACATCAAGAATATCGCACCTATGTATACGATGCCGAAGATGATACAACCGCAACATGCTGACATGCAGGTAGGATCGTGTCGAGGTCGATGGATCAGTGTTGAGTGGAACTTTATTTCATTTGAGTACTAACTACACCTGTCTCGTCGCTAGCTAGACGCGCAGTGAATGGCTCGTTCGCCCACCACCAATCCCATCTTTATGGTGTCTATGTGCTACGGAACTCTACTTTCTGCGAAATTTTAATCGCATCGGGGCTGCTGATGATCATGGGGTGGAAATGTCGACGCTTGGGGTTGCTGTGCCCTGGGTAATGGGGCTGTGATCACCTTTGGAAGGACGTGGAGGCGGTGAAGTTGACGTGTTTACTAGTGACGTGTATGCTGGGTGTCTGTAAATTCAGCATCAGCAATGTGAAAAGTCGTGTGCACGTCCTCTGAAACTGAAAACGTGCCACCCCATTGGTCTCGATAGATGGCCCTCGCAGACGTACATGGGCGAGTTTCGGCTCTTCCTGGAAAGTTCAGGTAGAGATACGACGGGAATTGGGGATAAGGCCAGTTCTCACCGAACAGACTCGAAGTTTGGAATGTAAGAGGTCACTGACTGAGCACCTCGTCGTGGACTACTGTTTGGAAAAATTGATAATATAGGCGAGAGTGAAAAAACCTTACCCATCAGCTGCAACCATGACCTCGCAAGTGTCTTAACCATCCTCTACACGTTTCATGTTTCAGAGGTGTCTGCCATTGACAAAGACGGTAGCCGCTGCTGATGATGAGCATGTGGTGTCGGTCGGTGTGGGTGACGATGTCGAGAGGAGACATTTGGAGGTCCGACAGCTTTACTGAGACTTGTTGTTGTCGATGAAGCGGAAGGCTAGAAGAAAATTCTCCACGTTGAACGTCCATGTATGCCGCAGTCGTCGCTGCCTCAGGAAGTTTAATGGAAGTTATTTGTTCCTTCTTGAATGTGAGACTTCGGTCTTCCCTTGCTGCACCCCAAGTGCGCGGTTCCTGTCTGCAAAAAGGTTGAGTGTTGCGCGTTTTCGGGCAGGGTTGGAAATGTCGTCTGTAGTGAGGAAAGTGACGTGGACTTGGTTCGATCAATGAGGGCGCTCTCATCGAGTCATGTAAAACGTAGAATGCGACAAGACCTGCCAACCTGAACCTTTCTGATCACAGTACTTAGATTGAATCGGCACTCACCAAAATCCCACAGGTGCACGGCGACCTCACCTTCCGCGAAGGACACTACATCTGCAAGGCGATTCATGAGACAATGTTGCTCGTTGAGCTTGACTTTGGTACGTCTCTTACCTTGACCTTCGCTCGTGTGGTCATTTCACATGTTTCATCGCATACATGAAGTTTATTCCACGCTTGCAAACGCTGAGAGCGTGCGGCAGACCATTACGACTCACGGCGGTGTGCTCGTTGGATTGGGTGGATTGGGCCACATTGTCGAACGTGCACCGCCGAATTGTCGAGGTTGGAAATGATGCTCATGTGCGCGGGTGGGACTTTGGCATGCAGTGGAAGGGGATGTTCCATGCTAGGGCGGAAGAAGTGGTAAGCGTGAGATATGTCCGTGGTAGATGATGTGGAGGTGGACGAGGGTGTATGCGTATGGCGTTTGAGATCTGAAATCTGAAGGACAGAGTGTGTAACGATTCAGGTGCTCATGTCATATAGAATGGGAGAGACTCTTACCTCCAGGTCAAGGTCAAAATGGGTGAAGCAGGAATGGGCGAGCCCACGTGAAAAGTAGAGGGAGTGGGCATGTATAGATGAACGTCAGATGAGGCCTAATCGAATGAAAGTATGAACTTCGATGCCTGGAAGCTAGGACGATAAAAACTCGAAAACTGCAGCGAATTCGGGTCGAGGCACGTCAACAACAACAAACAAATATGGCTTGTCGCCGCACAACCATCCACGGTAACTTGGAATCATTCAAAACCAGTACACGTCCATCCGCCTCTTTTCCATGCTCAAACATTGCGGGTGTCGCATCCATCTTTTATATTATCAATCTCACCTACCATTCCTTATGTACACTTGTTCAAGGATCATGAAAATTCAACAAGGTCCGTACCTTCCTTGCTCACAGAACACCCGGCTCGGCACTCGTGCTCTTATTTAATTTTTCAGAGCACCTCTTCCACATTGCGGTATTCATAGTTGAGCGTCAAGTCTTCTTCTCCTCCTCGTCGTTCTCCCCGTACTGATAGATTGTGAGCTTTCAAGTATGGTCCAAGATCAGATGGCCAAGATAACGTCAATCTATGGATGGAGGTGCTTGTCCCTCTGGTCACCACGGCGTCCCTGTTCGGTTGTCTCTCTTTTATCCTTGTGATGCTCAAGACTTACTTCGTACCGCAGACTTCATTCGCCGACACATATTTCGCTAATAAGTCCACGTTTTATTTTGAATAGCTGTTGGGCAATACGTGTTTGGGTGCTCGCGTACCCAGCTCATTCTGAATATGGTGAGTTGCTGCAGGTAGCGCTTCTAAGCGATATACAATGATCGCTCTCAACCCACCAGTGCTGTTGCTTTGCATGCGACACGGACGCCCAATTCCTTTGCAATCACGTGTAACTCACGCTTCTCGTTTTTATCCAGGCGTTCTACCGCAATGATGTTTTAATTCATTGCTGGACCTTGAACGCATATGCAAACTTTGTGTCCTTTCTAGCCGGTATGCTGTTGCCAGTGTCCCAGGAGGTTATGAACCATCATCGCGTTCAAGGTCAGATGGGTGAGATTTTGTGATTCTATGCTGACTATGAGTGTCATCAGGGTGTTCGTATTCGGTGGTCCTGGTGCGTATTTTTGGTAATGGAAAGACTTTGCCTTCGGCGCGCTCGGGTGCTGCTTTCATGATGACCCGAACAGTGTCCCCTTTGCCTGCCTGCCCACACTGCTCAGTTGCTGATAAGTACACGTTACATCTCATTCTAAACAAAAGCTAACATCAAATGCAACCAGGTGATCGGGCACGTCTCACGCTGTTGTTCTGGCGCTGGTGAATTAGGTACACAGGCAACCCAACCTAACTCGCCAGCGCTAGCGATGCACGTTACGCACCAATTCCGACACTGATCAGTTGCTAATAAGTACATCTCATCACATTCATTCTAAATCGTTATTGGTTTTAGGTAATTGTGCACGTCTCAGGCTGTTCTGGCGCTTGTGTGTTGAATTAGGTGTTTGATAGTAACTTAATCCAGCTCACCAGCGACAGTGATATGCCACACAATTTACGACGCACAATCCACTATCTCCACCTGGCTCGTATTCAGCAGTTCCCTTTCTCTCTCTTTGCACGCTCAGGTGCCACTCCCGTAGTAGCATTGAGCAGTTGACGCGACTTCGCCCTCTGATGTTGAATTTGCTTTGCTGATTAGTACGTGGCTCACATGAAATACATTGGAGTGGTCGTGCACATCTGGCGTTCTGACGTCGGTGGCCTGTTGTCCAAGCATTAGTGAAGCGCATGCTACACCACGTCGACGTCGACGCCGTCTAAAATAACCCTCAGTTGAATCCAGGGTAACCCCATGGCATCAGAAGTGGCACACGTGGAGAATTATCGCAGTCGATCACAATTAGCATGTACGACGTTTAATTTTACCGTGCTTGCTTGTCTCTGACTTGTTGTCTTGTGTAGAATGAATGTGTAGCTGACTCTAGTCTGACTACGTCCACATATCAACGACTTGGTTGTGCGAAATTGTATATTCAATGAAAATTAAGAACAAATACTCGAGGCTGATGCTACAAGGCGAGTACCCAGCTGATGATAATATACTGCAGTGAGTGTTCTACCTGCGCTCTATTGTTTATACTCTCCGTGGGCATGCTCTACATCCATTCCATCAGCATCATATTATGCTCTAAATCGCAGCGTTAGAGTGATATTCAACGTTTGGAACATTGAAGATCTCGTTGTGATCAGGGCGTGATCAAAGCAAAAATGGACGATGGTGACAGGTTATGTAGGTTCATGGAGTGCTGGGAAAGCGAGAAAACCTTGGATGAACGTGCGTCAAAAACGGTCGAGGGTATGGGACGGCGATGTGATTTCCGCGCTGTTCCCACATGACACCGCAATGATGATGAGTGAACAACAAGGAAAGATGAAATGCTACAGCATATGAATCATTTTTTGGGTCATCTGGACGTGCCATAGTCTCACAAGCACACAGCAACCCTGGCATGTGGGAAATAAACGAGATTGACGCTCTAGTTTGTGGACTCACAGCCATGGGCGAAATTCCTGTGCAGATATAAGAAATAGCACGTCTTTCTGTGCTCCCGCTGCAGAATCCTTCCCTCTCTCAGCCTGTTGGTAACTCTCATCTGAACTCGCAGCGTAGCTGAACTAACGATCAGACCTACAAGAGGCACACTGCTCTCGCAAGTGTTCCAGCGGGAATCTTCAAAACGACCAACATCAGACCTGCTGCACACGAAGAGAGCGCACCGTACATTCAAACGCATCCAGAGAATACCTCCCGGATTTGACTACTTGACAGTTTCTCTCGCGGAGCCGCAGCCATGGCCCCCACATCGACGAAGGCAGCTGCCAGGAAATCGATTCTGAAACCAAAAATGACTTTGAAGGGTCATGGACACTCGATTTTATCCATATCCTACTTTCCTGATGGCCAGCGAATGATTAGCGAATCTTATGACAAGACTACTCGGCAATGGGATCTGAAGACGGGTAAGGAGCTTGAGGAAGCGCGGGGTGTTTGCGAGAAGGACATATGGGCAGTGACGGTATCAAGGGATAGTCGATGGGTTGTTACCGCTAGTGGAGATCCTCACACCCGGGAGCTGAAACTTGAAGCCCGTCAGGTTGAGACGGGGATTGTGAAAAAATTCGAAGGCCACTCAGGTATAATCAACTCCATTGATATATCCGCGGACAGCAAGCTGCTGGCGAGCGGAGCCTGGGATCAGACGGTACGGATATGGAATTTGGAGACCGGCGAACTCGTGGCCGGTCCATTCGAGAGCAATGATTGGGTGGGCGCTGTTCGATTCTCGACGGATTCGAAGAAGCTCGCAGTCAAGTCATCGGTGGGGAAGTGCCTTGAGGTCTGGGATATCCAAAAACAGACATTGGATGTGAGCATAGGGAAACGAAGCACAGGGGAATTGACGCATTATGTGCCAATTTTCTGGACACATAACAACAAACACATCTTGGCCGCATTCACCTTCACCAAAGATGACGAAGCCAAGACAATTTACGAGTTTGACGCCTCGACGTTAGAGACTGTCGGAACTCCCTTCGAAGGGCATACCAGCACTGTCACAGGTCTAGCACTTTCATCCGACAACACTCTCCTCGCCAGCTCCTCGTTCCAGGACTACACCATCAAACTCTGGGCCTTCGAGTCCCGCCAACTTCTCGCTTCCTTCGACGTTCAGAATTCTTATGCCCTTGCCCTCTCACCCGACTCACACAAAATAGCTTACACGAGACACGCCAAGTACAACGATGAGGACAACATTTACATATGTGATATTCCGCCCAATGTGCTTGCTCAGGCCCGTGTACGCATTTCCCGAAAATATCTACGGCTCATGTGCTAATATTCTCTTACAGACCAGTGCACGCAAAAAGTCAACCCTCAATTATCTTCTAAATGTACGTGCCTCATTCTTTTACTCATTACACCACTCATATATCGTTATCATCGCAGCCTGACGCAACTCGTCGTCCTCCTGCAGTGCGCCGCAGCCAGCCAATACCTCGTGAACTCCTTCTCTCCCCTTCCCACACCGATACAGTTCTCCCACTGGCAGATCGTAACGATGAGTCTGGTGGTTCCCCCATTGAAGCGATGCTCCCAAATCTCACGGCATACATCACCAAGGACGACAAATATCCTGTTGCTCATGGCGGGTTCGGAGAGATCTGGAAATGCACCTATTCCATAGACAGGAGACTGATCAAAGTTCGTTGGCAGTATTCTGTTAATCCATCAGTCAAAAATTGACAATTGCGCAGGTTGCAGTGAAAGCATTGCGTGTGAACACTACTGATGAACTTGGTCCAGCGAAGACGAGGAAGATCAAGGTAAGAGTCTTGCGGAAAAATTCCATCTAATGTCACTTACATCAGAGGTCGCCACTTCGCAGAGGATAACGCGCGAACTCAGAATATGCGCCAACCTCAAGCACAAAAATATTCTCCCCGTCTATGGTTATACTTACAACTTCAGCCCATTTATAGCGCTGGTCAGTCCTTGGGCGGAGAATGGAAACCTGATGGTCTATTTAGAGCGTGTGGGTGCGGATCTTACTGTTCTTCGACGATTCCAGATCGTAAGTCCTCGCTTGTATTTCGTAAAGGCTACAGACTGATGGAAATCTCAGCTCATGGATATCATAGCTGGTCTCCAATATCGTACGTGCTAGTTAGTTTAATGCCGGACCAGGAGTCAAAACTATTCCCCGTAGTTCACGCCAACAGTGTCATCCATGGAGACTTCACTGCTGTGAGTTCGAACATTCTCGGTAGTTTCAGCTTGCCAGTGATTGAGATGTAATCTCCAGCCTAATGTACTCATCCATGGTGATGGTACTGCGTGTGTCGCCGACTTCGGCCTCTCCTTGATGTATTCGGAGGTCATAAGCATCTCTCAGGCTTCCTGGACTTCCACGCTCAACGGCAACGTGCGATGGATGGCTCCCGAGCTGCTCGCATTAGAGCGGGAGGATGAGTCTCTAGCACGGCCGAGCGAGCAGAGTGACATATATTCATTAGGTGGTATCACGTTGCAGGTACGTCTGGGGTAATTTCAACTTTTCAATGGGATCATTACCTCCGCTTTTAGGTCCTCACTAATAGTACTCCCTATTATTACCTCCGGAATGATGCCGCCATTATATGGGCTATGCAGAAGTCAGAGATGCCTTCCCGATCGCGTTATCCTCCGCTGCCTGCAAAATACTGGGAGTTTATTGAGAAATGTTGGTCTACTGATCCGCGGGACCGTCCATCGACAGAGGCAGCAGAGGGAGTAATCAGGAATGAATATCATGCGCTATCTAGATCTCCTTGATTCTTGAACTGCTTTTAATACAATCATGTGTTTACGGTACAACCAATTGGATAGCTAGCTCGGTATGCTACTCATGTATAGCAAATGTAGGCCCGGCCCCCCGCCATTTTGTGGTAAGAGCTCGAGACTAAACGTTTCTTGGATAAACGAACCAGGAGCTACATTCCTTCTTCTCCGGCAGGATCGAATCAACTGTCCATCCGCCCATGCGGTTTGCGATGTGATGAATCGATCAGATCAGGCATCAACATTCCATCCCAAATTGACGTGTGTAATTCTTTTAACGCATGTCATTGATAGAAAGGCGAGAAGTGATACATCGGGTGTATACGAGACACGACAAGGGATTACGATTGAATTTGAACTACCGGGGAACGTTCTTGAAGCTGATCCAGCGCACACAATGGTGTTATGAGTGTGCAGAAAAAGTGAGTAAGAGCGGTGAGTATGTGTGTGGTGTTTGATATGGGACGGGACGTATAAGGTCACAGAGGGCTGTTGAGTCAGAGTTACTTCGGGCTCGGGCTTAGAATCGGTGGCACAGGAATTGGGTGGTAGAGTGGGTGCTGCTGGCGAGTCATTGAGAAAGCAGGGTTGGGTGTTGGGTGAAGAATCAGGTTTGTGATGAAGACCTTTGTCAAAAGATAACATTGATCTGAATATTTCTGCAGCTGGCCGTATCATCGTGTGTTTCCCAGACGATGTCGCAGGCCAACTCGCCAGCACACACATTTGAAAACTGTGCTGTGAAATGAGCCTTTCAATTGCAAGCACAAGGGGAAACACTCACCATGTGCGTATCCCATGGTGACCCACCAGGAGGACCTATATCCACCGTCTCCACAGCAGCCCCACAGAATTTCATACGCCACGCAATCATCGAAGGCGTGACCTGGAGTTGTGGTGGCAGTGGTGAGTGTGCGTAGGCAGAGTGTGAGGAAATTGATGGGGGCAGAGGTATTTGGGTATTGCTAATATTCGAGCAGGGACGGAACGTGCAAGGTCATACAGGGTTTGTTGGGTCTGTTACCTCGGCTCGGGCTCAGGATCTGTGGAGCAGTAGAGAGAGGGGGAGGGGTATGTGTAGTTGGGCATTGGGCGTCAGGCAACGAGTGCCTGAGGCCGACCACCATCATAGAAAAAAATGTCGATCTGAATATTTCTCGTGGTCAGTTCGATGTAAAAACACTGGACATTAAAAACAAGGTCGGTCGGTCGAAATGATAATCTGTTGAAGCTAAGGAAATCATAGTTGAATCTCGAAAAATCGCTAAGCTGCTTTTTGATGGTGTCGTACTGCATCTTGATAGACTGGAGAGAGAATTCATGCTTGCTCGATTGACCAAATCCAAACATTTGTCCTCCTTTCAATGGAATGTCGACGACAAAGGCGATAATCAAAATGTTTTACTTTCGCAAACCCGAGATACTTCTACGCGCTGGTCCATACTTCTCGCTATGCTAAACAGAACATGAGCGACTCATGATGTCAGAAGCTAAATCACAGACGTGAGGCAGACAGTATTGGAGTGATACCAGTGATGTGGCAAGACAGAATGTCACATAAAATACTGTTGTAAAATTGTGATATGAGGAATTGAGCAAAATCAGCATCACCATTCTATCCAATGTCTACGTGTACAGACAACGTAACATGAGCTTGGCCATTCCTCGATTAAAGGATTGCACGAAACCTTATCTCTGTTGGCAGTCTTGGCTACTGTAGACGCGAAACGTGAAAAGCGGCTCGTTGTCATAGACTTGCGCAAATTGGTAGAAAAAGTGGTTGGTGAGGACAACGAGCTTGTGGCGGTTGGTCGTTGTGAGTGCCGATCTCGATAGTAGACATTCGAAAATCTGATAGCTTCGCTGGTAATGGTGTCGTCATTCAAGGAGAGTCCTCAAGATCACGTCCACGTCGAATGTGCATGCATTCAGGAGTGGTCGCCATGGTCCACCTTGGGCTCGAGTACTGATCCTCTGGAACCATAATCAACGCTGCAGATAATATTGCCTGTTATTGGACGTAAAACCTACTATTGTTCCAATTCCTTCGTGCCCTCATATCCACCCTCGCGCGTGAGAGACTCCGCTATTGACTTGCCACACTCCAGGTATGCAGTTCTTGTCTGGAGAAAGCCTCGGTGTTGCGCGCTCTCGAGTAACAATGTCTTCGTTGTGTCGTAAATGACGTATGTGGTGAGGAAAGCGATGCGGAATTTGAGTAGAAGTCTTCTGGGTGTGGGTGGCTGACGTTGTGAAGGTATCGGTCTTGCAAAGTGGTGGGCGTAGGTTCGGGTGTGCATGCCTGTGAGGTGGGATTTCGAAAAGTCGACTTCGGCGAGGAATCGTCGATGGCAACATATCGTAGCGCATGAGATTAAGTTACTGTCGTGTATGGTTGAATCTGGAATTAGTTCTCGAGACTTAAAGTACAAAATAGATACTCACTGCATGTCTTCCCTCGTGACACCACCCAACCATATCCCAAATCCCTTTAACTCTCCCCTACAGTAGCTCAGCGCCCATACAGAACACGATAAACGAAGGCACTCTCATCGACATGTTGAATGCGACAAGACGGACCAATATCTCAAAAACAACAATCCTTCTGACGACGGTCAATCGGTTCGTTGTAGAAAACATTCCTATATAATGTAAATCAACAAAACAAAGGAAGAACGAATATTATAAACGATATATTGAGACTTAGACTATGTCTGTTTGATGTGGGACGGAGCGTACGAGGCTGTAGAGGCTGTTGAACCAGAGAAACCTCAGGCTCGGAATTAGTGGTAGAAGAATTGGGCGGTAGAGTGGCCCAGAGAGGGTACTGCTGGTGAATCGTTGTGGGAAATGATTGAGAGAGAAGGGTTGGGCGTTGGGTGGAGAATCGGGCTTGCGATCGTTAAGAGGAACATTGGGTCTGAATCAACATTCTGTTCGTCCAAGTTTGACGTAGAAATAGTAAAAACAATTCAAATTATGATCTGAAGGCTTTGATCAAGATCAACGTTTAATGCAATGTGCACAGTGCACACTCATCACGAAATCGGGGAGGACGTGCTTTTAATAGATGAAATTTGCAAAGTCTGACCAAAATTTTATGGCATTTTGTGATAATATACCCTATGATAATGTATTATATAAACACCAGCAAAATGACAGCAAGTGATACGATATCGCAAGCATGCTACAAGTCTGATAAAAATATGCAACACCGCACAATTAATATCATTCTATGACAAAGTAATACGCAGGGAAGAGAAAAATGGCACCAAAGGACAAGAAATTATAAATAACCCACAGTTCTGATGGATTTTTGCAATACCTCACATGTATGATTATTTTACGACAAAGTAATATACAAGCAAGAGAAAAATGGCGCAAAAGGACAAGAAATTACAAGTAACCTGGAATTTCGCTGAGAGCGCTCAATACCACGATGCTGCTGGTAGAGATCACACCGCACTCGATGAAAGTGTATATGGCAGCTTTGCATTCTATTTGGTCTCACTTAGCCTCGCGGTCCGAAGCGCAGGCTGCTAGGATTAGCCAGCAAAAGGATTTTCCCGGACGTAAGCCCGGAAAAATCCGATGAATAGAAAAACTAGCTAAGGACAAGTGGAGACCATAGATAGAGACTAATTGTCCTTGCTTAGTCTCGTGGGACGCAGACGACAAGGATTTAGCCAGCAAAAAGGACCCCTCCGCGAGAACGGGGAAGGAGATGCAGCAGCTGCGGGTTATGCCTGTATAAGATTTAGTGTGCGGCGTGATTCAGGAAGACGCGGAGCAGCACGCACGATGACGACCCACCACGCAGCTGCAACGAATGCAGTTGCTGCTGCGATGAGAATCACGAACTGGTAACTTTCTGCTTCATCCGCAATGTCTCTGCCTATTTGGCCCGCTTTCTGCGCAAACAGTAGACTGGACAGACCCTCCATGGCCACATAGGAAGGACCGCAAAGCGTGAGGAGATTTCCCCACCAATAGACCGCGGTGGGAGGGATAACGAAGAAGGGCGTGAAGAGCGAGGAGGGTTGGGGCGAGAGGAAGAGGAACGAGGAGGATCGCGACGAGGGGAGCTGCTCATATGCGAGAGAGAAGAAGCACCTAGAAGCACCAGGAGTCCGAAGGAGAGGGCGCACGCAACGGGATGCAGATGGAGTTCTGAAGTCGCTGTGCGCAGGGGATGAGGACGACAGGGGGGAAAGGAGAGATATTTCAGACTCCGATTCGGCACGAGAACCCCGCTGGACAAGAATAGCACTACTAAGTGCCATCTATTGCCCATCGAGTCCTGCAACGAGATCGTAAATCACTCAGCTTGAAGATGAGTCCTATGGATCCGGTGAGTAACGAAACCATCGTCGATCGCCCACTCACCATCGATTTAGAGATACAGCCGATACGTAAAAAGGCCAGAAATCGCATCGGTGGAGGTTGTAGTGAGGCCAGGGTCAAACAGACATGATCGACAGGTGCTGTCCAAGGACGAGTATCGCCGGTGAGTGCCCACTTACTGATGATCGATCCGTTTCTAACGTTAGCAGTGGCGGCCTTATTAACATATCGAAGATCACAATCATTCCCGCACCTTCGCGGGACTTGCAAGTGGCTGCCGTTCAGGAAGTGGATGGAGTGGTCCGATGAAAGATGAAAGAAGGGTTTATCAGAGATGAATGAGCGCCCTTGCAGGGGGATGTACTTGTAGTGAACAGATCACGGATTTCCAAGGGTGGGTCGCGGTTGGTGTAGAGCACTTGGGGGGCATTTTGAATACTAGGCTGTCGTCGTGCGTCCACAAATTCCTTGTTGCAAAGTCAGGCATGATGCAGAAATCTATGGAGTATTCTTACCTGCAAGAACACCTTGCCAAAAATACGATCGGTCTAGAGAAAACGGTGAGTTCAGGACGTACAACATATGCCTAGCTCACTTACGGGAATGGGATAGGAGCAAATTTGCGGCTCTCTAGCAAGTGAACGGTCGCTGTGTAAATTGCAACAGGCTCCTCCGCACTGATGTATAGTCCATCCTTCAAGTACTGACGAGTCAGCCGACCCAGATTTTTCTTCACTACTGCCTTATCAACCGAGCACCACCAATCAGCCTTACTCTTGATGTACCGTAGGATAATGTTTTCAGTGGCAGTGGGTATTCCAGGGACTTTCCACGGGATGTTCGCCTTCCAGCAACACCACGCCTCCGAGAGATGCTGCAGAATTGTCGTCGACTTGTTCTGCTTGATGAACTCGGGCATCATGTCGAGAATGACGTGCATGGCAGTAGCACGCAATTCAAGGTCGTAGTGAAACTCGACAACTTTGTCCCAGTCTTCACAATGCCCTTGCTGTTGCGTTCCTCGAACTGACACGCGAAGAGGTTACCGAGCCAGCACTCGAGTAGTGGTGATGCCTCGCATGAAGAAAGTCAGACACGCCAACAAGGAGCCCAGAAGCCATTTCCAGGACCTTTGCCGACAGGGCCAGTGCTAAAGCGGTAGTAGATCAAGTGCTTGAGATCTTTTGTCATGCGAACTGGTCTCATGAGCTGGATGAAAAATCAATAAAAGAAAATTCGCCTGCAATAGGAGTTGTGCGAACCTCGTACTTGTACCGGTACATACCAGTCAAGGCGCCGATGTGCGCAAAGATGTACTGCAGTGCGTCTGCGAGCTGGAAAGCATCAACGTTACCAAGGCGGAACTGAACATGGGTGTCAACAACGAGCTTCGTAAGACGTAGAATCTCGCGACACAAGTGGAAGGCATTTCCGAAGCGAGACTTTTTCGCTCCTTTGTAGTGAGCGTCTTCACTGGCTTCAAATTCATGTTATAATCGAGATGCAAGTAGTTCAAGTTCTAAAGGGGAAATCAGCTTCGACGTACCCCAGCGATCTCTACGAAAGCCTACCTTTCTGTGGATGAGGAGGTTAAGCATGTTGCACCCTTGTCTGCACACCTGCAAACCGGCTTCCACCCAGTCAAGCTTTGTCGTCTGGAAGAACTTCGTCGCCTTCAATTGCCGGAAGAGATTCTTCTTAGTCATCGCCTTCTCAGGCCGACTCTTGAGCTCGTTGAGGACGAAGCACTTGAGCAACTTCTGGTGTGATACGCGAACCTTGACTGGCTGGTTGGGAGGACAGTGCTCCAAGTACCAGTTCTTCACAAGAGGTATATCCTGCGCACGACGCATGCGACCAGAGCGCCGATTATAAGGTTCAGGTGCCCACCATAGAGCAATACCATCAGCAGTAAGGTCGTTCTCGAGAGGCTTGTCCTCAAGGAATGGCTGTACTACATCGGGCAACTCAAAGTCATTGTCTTCGGCGCCGTTCGGACCAAATAGAATCTTCGTGAGAGACGAGCGGTGCGTTCTTCGGAGTGGCGCCCCGCAGGGAGATAGGGTTGATAAGTGGGTCGAAATAGAAGGCGGGTAGGTCGGGATCATGTGTGCGAATATAGACATTCTTGGGCGAATGATACGGCGAGAGGTGAACAGAACGCGGGAGGGAGTTATAGAGATGCGGGAAGGCGACCTTGTACTCGGTACGAATTTGTTGACGAATGATGACTTTGTTGACATCATTAAACTCGTTCCAGTCTTCATCGAAAGCATCCATGTCACGGTACAAGGGCTCAAACTTTGGCCCCCCAGGAATTGCCAAGTTGAGAGCTTTTGCGGTAAAGAAAGATTTCTTATCGAAGAGATAGCTTGCGTTGCTATCAGGCTGGTCTGATAGCAAGGTTCTGCCAAGACGATACAAAATCGCCATGACAGGTAGTGAGAGCTGCCAATAGCGATATGAAGGACCGTTGACCGCAGGTGTGTCCACCAACGGCTTCAGGTCGTAAAACCAGTCGATGATGGCAGAATCTTCTTCTGTATCGAGCTCCAGCTGAATGGCTTCAAGAGGCTCAACATCCAGCACGTTATCACCATAATCCAACGGCGGCTCTTCGTCATCAAAAGGTGGGAAGCGCATACGCTTGAAATGTCTGCGATCACGCTTCTCTCGACGCATGGCTAGCCACATGGAACTCCATTGCGCATGCTAAACAGGTTCGATAATGCGGGGAATCTCGTTGACGAAAGTGATAGCGCCAGTGATATGATAAAGGACGGGCACCTCGCGAACCTGCTCCCAAGGGTATGGAATGTTTTCGAGCAGCTTCATTACAGCGTGAGGGACGTATTTCAAAGCGCCAAGGTGGACGCGCTTGTCATTGCGAAACTTGCGATTACTCATGTTACCTAATTTTGCGGACGTGTTCAGGAGGCAAATCCTGTACGATACTTATTCAATACGCGTAAAATTTCCATACCAACTGAACGCACCTGTTTTCCCATATCAACGTATCCTCCTTTGCGTTTCTGGTTGATGAGTGGGTCGAAATAGAAGGCGGGAACGGGCATCTCCATGTAGGCTAACAAGATAAAAAATGAACATAACCCTTCTCATGGAGATGATAAAACCACGTACTACTAGTGCCCTCGCTATAGAGCACCTCCACGTCCTCGGGAAGCGCAGCGGTAATGCCATCATACGGGGTCACAAAGTATGATGGCTTGAGTGCAGCCGACCCTCCTCCAGAAAGCACGATGGCTTTCGCATTCCCCCCGACAATAGCAATCGTTTTGATCATGCAGGGGTTCAGAGGGAGGATGGCGTTGGTATTTTTTAGCAACACGATGGATTCGCCTGCGACTTTGCGCATGAGAGCTGTGTCTTCAGGGCTGTCGACGGTGCGTTCGACACCATCTCCATCAATGATCTATGAGAGTCCATCATCAACAAAGAGCACACGATGGAACAAAATGTACATACCTCTGGTGCTTCCTGAGCGACGCGCTTGGCAAGCTCGACAACTTTGCGTGCGCGCTCCTTCACGGTCCTCACTGTCAATTTCCTCGAGCCAATGGACCTGTTCATGGGATCAAGCGTGCGCCACTTGTTGGTGCCTGGCATCTCGAGGTCGAGGCCAGCATTGATACTCAAGTCTACGCTGTGTGAAAGTGAAGAAAGGTATAAGGGATCACGAACCGAGGGCCAAAACCCCAATCCGCACACATACCTACTTACACTACTCCCACCACAGCCATTCCCCTTGTACGAAGTTGGCGTCGGCCTTTGCCCGACACTATGCCGACGGAGTACGTGTTCGTACCATACAAGTCAGAATCACATACGATACTATAGTCAAGTCGGGAGTAAACCCCCCGCATTCGAACAGGGTTATGTCTAACATAGGGTCTTAGACCCCAATGGACAATAAATTTGATTCAAAAAAAAAAAGTCTACGCTGTTAGGAACGGATTGTCAATATGACAGATAGAAGAATTTCTGATCCTTACCTTTGCGTGAGTCTTCTTTGAGAAGTACTGGCATGGCGGAAAACACGATAAACATCACTTCTGAAGACATGAATCACCACACACTGCCATAGATAAAATTAACTTCACTTGGCTTAGGCATCAATGGTAGGCGCTTAGTATCTTCCAGCTCCCCACCTGCGACATCGATGGCGTGCTGGGGGTGTACATTCGTGCATCGATTGTATACTGTCACATTAGGGTGTATAAGAACAACGGCCATTGGTCTCCAGTCATAATCATTTCACCACTTTGTAGCTTAGTTTTCGTCCTGTACCCCGTCAGACTTTACACCATAGACGAGGGAGATATCACCCACTCCTAGGATGTCGACCCAGTAAGGCCATTGATGTAAGTTAGAATCGTTTTTTTTTGTTTGGGGGGGGGCCTGTTCAGAAGATCGTAACATCCAATTCAAGCCCTGAGTGTCAAATACAAAGTCGTCGACAACAGCACGTACCATGGCACATATCACTGACATAAGTCGTGTCGGAATTTCACGCAATCATGCCTCCGAGTCGGGTCTCGTAGGCTGTTTGCTAACGCCAGCACATTTCGGCTACAATGCATACATGAGACAGATTGAGGGAAAAATTGAAGCACGTTTACTCACAGGTCAGCCAGCCAGCCACCTTCTCCATCACGAGTCGAGAAAAGAATTAGTACATACCAATCCGATAGCATTGTCGACGAGTTTCAAGTCTTTTCGTTGGCCGGTTTGACTGCACTGAAGCCCTGATATAATGTGAGCAACTCGAGATAGTGAACATTATTTATGTTCAACGTGCCTACCTTTCTCCGGTGGTTGACCATAACCCGTCGACATGGCAATCAACGTCTGAATCTCCCGAGTACATCGTGCCTTGTAAACGGTACTTGTCTCCAAGCCGAACATGTGCACGAAATGT